TCATCTCTGGATAGACAGTCTCACCCTGAGCCCTTCTCTCTGTCATGAGAAGTGAGTCATGTCTGTGAAGCACTATTATTATCGTCTGCCCGGGGCAGGAATTAGAGATAAGCTGCAGTGGAGGCTGATTTAAGGGGAGCTCAAAGGAAAGTTGGGAGAAAAAAAAAAATATATATATATATCCTAACTTAACATTTTTGGGCAAAAGGGAAACTGAAACTGTCCCTCAGATAGAGCAGTATCCTGCCCCTTGAGATACTTATAAATTTAAAATTCCCTTTTCATTCACTGTTATGGCTCTACATGTGCTGAAATAACAATTATTGTAAGCATTTATAACATTTAAAATCAACCTGATGACTGGAGTACATTTGATGACTCATTTTAAGAAGCAGATTTGTATGCAATCATATTTTTGATCCTAAATTTGATCATATTGCTTGAATATATATATTGCTTGAGTGAAGGGTAACAATCTTGTACTCAACTGCAACATTTCCACATTCACTTCTCAGAACAAAAAAAAAAAAAAAAATCATTGTTTTCATTTCTCTAATGGCTGAAACTTCTGTCTGCACCTAAATCAGCGAGTGTACTTTGCTTTTGGCTGCAGAATAGTGTTACCACTGCTACACAGTCAGGACCTGAAAATACACCAGCTAGACAGGCTGTCTTCCTACTCTGAAGCTCCATACTTCCTGCGTACTGCACAACAGTTGGTATAGACTTGTTTGTTAAAAAGGGATACGCCTCAGTAGGCTGTCATTGATCGCAGCCACAATTACAACTTCTTTAAACGTTCCAATAAGCTCAATGGTGTAATTTCCACAGGTAATGGTGTGTAACTATCCCTTAGTCCTCTTTGTTTTTACAGATTCAGTTTCATTTAGTCACTAAAATCTTTGTAAACGGTTTTCTTACTGTCCAACTGCCACAGTTTCAGATGAGAAAAGCATACAAAGCTTTGAGGGCTTTCTGTGCCCTGGGTTTCTCCTCTCAGGGTACAGAGATTTGTGCCCTACTGTCTGATTGGTGGAGGCTGTACCTGCAGTCTGACAGGACTTCAACTACCCTAAACTAAAGGACATTGCTTAGTAAAGATGCAAATGCAATATTCATTCATCATCAAGTAGGAGAGGTCTATCAATGAAAGCTTTAAGTGGCTTCCCGGAATCAAACCTAAGCTCCTTGAACAGGCGATTTACAAGTTCTACTTCACAAAATCTAATTATTATAAGTATCTGTTTAAGTGCTGATGTGTCAGAATGATTCATCAGTAGGTATAGATGTCCAGCACTGATGATCCTCACTTCCTGAGATGTTGCATCATAGATTTATGCAACATGGGTTTTTGTTCCTGGTTCCAACACTGATAAAGACGTGCCATCTAGTCAGTCAGTTACACAGAGTGCTCTCGAGTATGGTGCAACATGGTGAAATCAGTGTTTTCTTGCAACACTGAGAGCAGTGAGAGAAGCGTTTATTATTGGCCTGTCAAGTTTTTTTTTTAGTCTTGTGCTGGAATATGGTTTTATGTATCAGCACAGCCAGTTAAAGAACAAGGGAAAGCTCTTTATGTCTGGATACAGCTAAGCATGATGTCTTTCTCACTGTCCGTCCTCAGTCCTCACTCAAAACTTACCATGAGCTGTACATCACCTAAGGAGTAATCTGGTTTATTATGCACTTTGTGGACTAAACAACAATGCTGGCAAAGGCAGAACTTACTCATTCTGCAGGAAAAAGGAAACAGGCTTTTTAGTTCCCCTGAGAACTCATGGTGAAAAAAAAAAAAAAACATTGGCCGAAAGCCGCAAAGCCATTAAAAGATTTCGATGCACCCCTTTCATGCTTCACTAGCTACTCATCTTCTCTTTGACAGAACAACTCGGTATCTTCTCATACACAACCGAGACAAACACAACCATTATGTCATCTACATTATGTCCTCCTGTTTCAAAACTGTTGCTGTTGGGCGGCGACTTCCTGGAGTGACAAGACTCTGTGGCAACTGGCCAACAAATAGTCACGTATGTAACCAACCATGGTCAAAATCTGTGTTATATGATTCCTCTGGACACTTTGAAATATTTATGCTGACTGGGAAAGCATCGGCCCATGCACACCGCTAGCTCTCTGACATACATCAATGTGACGCTTAAATCATCGGCCATCTTTGTTTTGTTTCTTTATTGTTGTTGCGTTATTGGTTGGTAACCAGATGCTCAACCTTAACCAAATGGGGATTCAGTGCTGCTCATTTGACAGATTTTATCAAATCAGATCACATTAATAATAAATAGCTGTTGAATTTGGGATTGAAGTAGATCATGAAAACAAGTCCAGGGAGAAACATGCCCAGCTGGGTTATAGTGTGTATTGTAATATGACAGCGGGGATCCAGACCAGCTTCAATATCATTCCCGTAATATATAGTAATACCTGATGAGACCCTATAAAAATAAATACAGGTACGCACCTAAAAAAATCAAACTCTCATAGGTGTAACACTGTAACTTTAATAACTAATTTTAACTCATTTGTTTAAATTAAAATTCACCCAGAATTGTTATTTTGGACAAGACAATTTTCAAATCATCATATCATCACAGTATTAAAGATGCAATGACTAATCGATCAACATAACCGCAACCATTTTGGTAACTGATTAATAAAATTGAGTCATTATTTTTAATACAACATGTCAAAATTCTCTGGGTTCAGCTTCTCAAATGTGAATATTTTCTGATTCCCTCATTCCCTATGATACTAAACTCAATTGGGTTTTGGACTATTTATCAGGGAAAAACAAGATATTTATATCTTGGGCTTTGGGAAACTGGGGCAGACATTTTTACAATCAAGTAAATAACCAGTAGATGAATCGATAATAAAAACCATCTGTCGAGTGACAATAACAATGTAAAGTTGAAGAAATGAATAAACCTGTTATACTTAAAAGGCTTTACTAACCCCTACCTTAACCTTTCAACTACACACATTGTCTGTATGCATCTATTTCTTCAAAAGAAAATGGACAACAAAACATGTTACACAATGTCTCAGAGATTAGTGATAACCTCTGCATAATAGGAAAAGCATCAGTGTACATAATCACATTAAGAGTGATCAATGACACTGAGACAGTGGGCCAGCATGCACAAGTGCCAGGAGCCCCAAAACTAAAGCAGCTAAATTGAATTCAGCCTTCATTAATTTCATAATTCACACCACTGATTTTCTAACTGTGCCTCCGTATCTGTAGTTCCACTTTTCTTTTTTCTATTATTATATATATATATATATATATATTCTTTTTTTAAATGATGTTTTGCTGGCGCTGAATGAGCTGCCGTCACTTCTGCTCTGCTGGCTCACAGTGATGTCAGTCAACTGTCATCTTATTGTCCCTCTGTTAACAACAGCTCTACTGTGTTGACATTATACACACAACGTTTCATAGATACACCTCCCATCGAAAAAGGTGTGTGTCTGTGTGTGATGAGAGCAGAAAAGGGGGCCAGGATCAGCCATCGAGATATTACTGCGTTTTGTTGCGTATTAAATACGCACATAAAGACAAGTTTGTATTTAATGAGAGGACATGTGGCATAAAAGCCTCAGTTACATTGGGAGCTTTCAGATAGCAGACACTGCTTGATTTCCCCTCAGCTCTTTTGAAGATTTTCTCTAAAAAAGGAAAAAAAAACAGTTTCATTGAAGGTTGAATTTAAGGACATAGCACTGTGTTATTCATCAGAATCCTTTCAAGGCTGATAATTAAGAAGTGAGCCTTCCTGACTTCAGGATATCAAAACTTAACAACCAGCAGCTCTTCTGCACTTGGCTGGATCCTGTCCTCTATTAACAGCTCGTCACAGTGAGATGAAACCCATCCAACCCCACCCAGCCACCCACCTCCATCGCACACTGCACTCAATCCCACAACACAAACACACACACACACACACACACACACACACACACACACACACACACACACACACACACATTTGCCTTGAGTTTTACATTGTATTCCCGGTCAGCTGAGCTCTGTCTGAGTGCACGTTTAAATGATATGAAGCACAATGACAAATCGAGAGCAAGATGACGGCAAACAAACACAGCTGAATTGGATAAGAGGGAAAGTGAAAAATTGGTAGTGAGTGGGAGGTTGTGTGTGCGTGTGTGTGTGTGTGTGTCTGTGTGTGTGTTTGTTGTTTGTGTGAGTGTTTGTGTGTGTGTGTGTAAATGCAGGAGTGAAAGGTAGAAGAAGAAGAAAGATAGTGTGTGTTTTTCATGCTTCAGTCTATTCAATAAAATCTGCTTTTTTTCACTGATGTCAGCAGACAAACAGGAATGGTTTTCCTGTGAGAAGAGACTGGTGTGTATTTCAGAGTGGTGCTGAAGTGTAACCCTGTTAATGTTTAGTTCTGGTCCACAGGTTTGATATACTGGATTAAGCTTTCTGGGCAGGAATCCAGCACAGAGCGCTGAGATGTTGTGCAGCATGTTGACATGATGGTATCTGACTTATCTCCAAGTATACAGACACTTGCGTTGGCTAATTAATGACACGATAACAGGAAGTGTTTCACTATGATTACTAGACACAGTGCATAAGCACAGAAATGGCCTCTTTCTGTGCCACAGCTAATGTGATTTGCACAGGCCCCTGTCTTCACTATATGAAGGATTAAATCTGTGTGGTTTGATGCCCCTGTTGCTGCCTAAGTGGTAGTTTGTGATATGATTTGATGATTGGTAAATTCCAAACTTTATTTTTAGGCAGTACTTGCACTTTTTTTTTTATTATTATTATTTTCACCACAGCATCATATTGAGCTGATTGGTTACTGATCAGACCAGGTTATAATCATTAATCAGGTGGGGGTTTTTGTAGAGAATTTTGCTCCAAAACTGTGGAAATATTTCTGCAGACACAAATATAATTCTAATTCTTAATATAAGATGAGGAGCAATCTCCTGCTGTAACTTACCTAATAACAGCAATTTCACTTCTCTGGCTGCCTTCTCTCCGTCTTCTCGGAGGTTTTTGTCAATCATCTTTGACCTCTCCGCGGCTGCCTTATCCTCGGCGCTCACTGTACAACCCATGGCTCCAAACGCAGGGGCGCACAGACCACTTGCGCAAAAAGAGGTTTCAGTGCTGATGGATCTCAGCGTGCCAGCCGATGCCAGGAATAAAACGTTGGAGCAGCTCTTGCTTCCAGCACTGGCAGTGTGGAAAACCAGAGTCCAGAGTTTTTACCCGCGCGTCAAAAGTCAATGTTTCTGCTCTCCCCTTCAAAAAAAGAAGCTCACAGATGAAGCAGCTGCATCAGAATCATTTGTTGTTCTACACCGAGTCTGTTACCGGTGGTCCATGTCGAGGCGCTCACAGCCCTCTGTCCTGCCTCCATGCACACACACACACACTCACACACACACAGGCTGAGATGCCTGTGCTCGCTCGCTGCTGCTCCGTTGCAGACTGCCTCACTTGTGTCGTCGGCCTGGTGAGCGGCGCGTCCCTCGGTCGCGCGACTGCTGCAGTCTTTTTTTTTTTTTTTCGGCGCTTCAATTTGGCTCGGAAATCCTTAGATCTCCCTAGACAATTGGAAGCAGTCGACCGGTCGCATCGACGTCACTTGGACAACTTGTCGCGATAGTTCAATTAAAACAGGTGAGCCGTCCGCTGTCGCTTGTTTGGCTGCAATTAGAGAGGGAGCCAGGGAGGCGTGATTTGAGGAGTGTGCGGTGATGTGCAGACTGCAGTGGGCGCTGTGCCAGCTTCATTCCTTCATGCGCTTCTCATGGGTGCAGACTCAGAAACGACAAACACAACATTATAAGGTGGACTTGAAAGGTTCTCAATGACTGGTCGAACTGTGCAGAAGCAGGTTTGTCTTTGTAGTGATGCAGGACCGGCTGTTAAAATGGTTAAAACGGGCCTTTTTGACACATGTTTATATATTTGGCACATAATTAGGCCGATTTAAGAGTTGGTGGACAGCGCCGCCTAAAGGACACAGGCCTACCTGTTTCCTCTGCGAGTTGACTGTTACTGGGCCCATATACTCTGTGAAGCCATAAAGAGATAACAATAATAGGCTAAACAATAAACTTCATTATATAGCACAATCTCTAAGATTTGCAGCACATTACACAAAGCAAACATAAAAGCAGGCAATTTCAAACAGTTAAAAGATGTAAACACACTTCAAGTAAAATGGGAAATATTCAAAAAATGATACCCATAATAAATATAGGCCTAAATGTGATCCTCTAAGATTGAGTAGAAGACATACTTTTATGCTATAAAAAATTATTCATTTCATGTAAGAGGAAATTCGATTTTTGCCTTTTAAAACTGTTTCCTCCATCATTCAGCCATAATTTAATTTATAGTCATTTTTAAACTTCAGTAGCATCTGGACTGTGCAGTCCTAAGTTGAGGTTATATTTTTAGTATTTTTTCCATATGTAAAGCACAGTGTGATGCTGATAAGAGAAGGCTCCAGAGCACTCTTCATTGCATAATAATGCTGTTAAATGCAAACTGTTTTATTGCAAATTCAGCTCTAATGTGCCATTTAACTGTTGATGATTGTTGTGATTTTCTTGCTTTAAGAGACCGCTGGACATATTCTGTAGGCTACATTTGTTGTTTGTGTTGTTAGATATTAGCAGTGAAATCCAGATCAGAGCGACAGAAATATACTAACCTATGTCTTGTCTTCAGTTTGACTGGAAACAAATCCAAATCAATTAGTTTTGCTGGGTTAAAGTAAAAGTCTGTGGTGTGTTCACAAAACAAGGTCAGAAGTCAGGGATCGCGATGACCTCAAGTTCAGGTTTAGTGTGTTTTGGTAAACAAAGCTTATAAGGACATTGACCAGGTATAGACCAACTCTTTCAAACCATGTACAAACGCACATGTGTCCGTGTGTGTGCAAGTGTGTCTTTATATATATCCCTACAATGGTCAACTGTGTAAATGTCTGTTAAATTTCATCAAATGTCAAACAAATTAACAGCAACACACGGAAAAAATGCAAATGTCTGATTTGTTCATTTGCACTGAAACACAACAACCAGAAATATGTGCTGCTTAAATCAGAATTAGTTTCATTGAAGGGCGGAAATGATGACAACAGAGACGATGTAAAAACATCTACAATTATTTTATTGCCAAACTAAAACTGTCCCTGCTATTTACACTTTACAAGCTACTGTAAATATGCATAACAAATATAAAAGGTTTACATTTATATACATTATTTATATAAAGCCACATCTTATTCACCAAAATTCATATACCTTCTTATTTACTTATAGTTGTGTCATTTCATAGATTTAAATCTTGAATAACACCTATAATAAAATATCAGATAGATTTGTTTAGGCACATGAAAAATGCATATTGAATATAGTGTGTTTGGTATTTAAACTGTGGAACCTGTTTAAAAGTTAAAGCCGTTTCAAAGCAGTATAGGTAGGCTGTTATTTTGGCATGGTGAATAAAAACTCTGTTCACTAAACATGACAAAAGTAACCCTTCATTTACACCACAACAGCCACTGCAAATAACCGTGGAAAAGCAAGGGACGGAGGTCGATACGTGCATTAAATATTTCTCCTGCTGTTCTTCATTATTTGTCCCTAAAAAAACCTTGATCAAGAATCAGAACTGCTAAACAAACATGAAATAGAGGAATACATAAATAAAATGAGAGAAGTGATGATTTACATGGGACTCCTCTGAAGCCTGAGAGTTGTAATACAATATAAAACCTTCTTTGGCTACAAGTATTTGTTGTAACATTTCTCTGAGTTGTTTAAGTTAAAAACTTAGTATTGTTTTAAAACTTAATTAATCTTAAGTTAACTTGTGATATATATTTCTACATAAAGAAATGTTCCTGTACTCTATAAAAAAGTGATATATACATATACATATATATATATATATATGTATGTATGTATGTATGTATATGTATATGTATATGTATATGTATATATATGTATATGTATGTGTGTGTATATATATATATAGTCAGTGCTATTATGGGACCCAAAATCAGTCTGAAGAACTACAAATATTTGAAGTATTCATCCACATCCCTAAATTTACCTCGAATTGAGTGTGTCCACGGACTGAACATCACAGCAGCAACATTTGAAACATTAATCGTTGTCACAACTTTTAAGAAGGGCTTCATAATACTAATATAACACTATAATAACTATAGCACAGACTGGGACTTCAATACACGTCACTATAAGATGCCAATTGTACAGTATTACAATAACATCTATCTATGACAGTGTTAGCTGTTCACTATACCAACTACAGGACGGACAGGTCATAAGAACATGCAAAACATTAACCTCAAGTCTAAATATTCAGTGTAGATCGAAATACTCCAAAGCAGTACGGCAAAGACGTTACGGCAGAACCACAACAGATTAATACATCTTCCAATTAAGACAATTAACTTGATAAACTCTGCCAGACCCACCAGTGGGATTATCTTTTACAAATTCAGGTTGCTTGGCCAGGCATTGATCAAACCCTCAAAGTTCGATTTAAAGGGTGGGGACACCCTATTTACAAATTATAAAAATAAAAAAATGGAACCATATTTCTCTGTCTCACCTTTCTGAATATGTGGTATCTAGGCAAGAATGTTTTGGTTTTCTTTTCATAAGTTTTGAGATATGTATATTGCTCAAGTGTCTACATACTTTTATCCATATAAAGCATCTCAAAACTTGGGTAAGTACAACCAAAACGCTCTCCATGGCCAAGTATTATATTATTATCAATTATTTTTCCTTTTTAAGTATTTCATATTGGCATTTTTCAGTTTTCTTTTTTGTACTGTCCACTTTGCTGCTGTAACACTGTGAGACTAATAAAAGACTATCTTATCTTCAATGCCATATTTTCCTCACTTACTAAACACAAGTGAGGAAAACTGCAACAAAGTCATGGATTCCATATCATATGGAAAAGGTAGTTTCTGAATTCATAAGAATTTAATGAGAAATTTAAAGGGGGGAAATAATCATAGAGGTTTATGAGCTAGACTCAAAGGTGAAGGGTCAGGGTATACTTGAACTCTGCTTGGTTTATATTCAAGGTCACAGTTTGGCGTATATGTGCTAAAAGTTTTACAAAGGGAGGTATCAGATCCTTAAATCAAGCTCTTTCTATTTCATCAAACATTCAAAGTATTGTCTGTCTGTAACACCTTCCATTAACTATATACTGTAAGCTATCATTAATTCCATCATATGCAGTAGTTAAATAGAATCCATTTGAAATTAAAAACACAGTTATAGTAGCTAAATAAATATACACTCCTGTTTATATGTTTCTGTGCTGTTCCAAATGCAGAAAGGCACCAGGGTTTGTGAAGAAATTGCTGATTTATGCATATGGAACAAAAGCTTAGACTGCATGATACAACACTACATAACAACTCTGGCAATTGACAGATCATGAAAATGAAATGTCATCTGCGCTTTAAGGCTTTAAAGCACTTTTTGTTTTATATTACACGATGATGTACAGTTCAGAGTGCTGCTGGTTCAGGATGAGTCCTGTTTTGTGCGTCTCATGGAAAATAATTCATATTTGTGTAAAAATAAGTTCTGAGTGATTAAGTTATAGCTCTTATGTTTATCTTGATGCCTCCCTCTCTCCGGTCTAAAAGACAATCATACCAACTTTTTTTCTTTACAGTACCAGCTGCAGCTGTTTGCGTGTAAATAAAGAGGAAGCAACAGGAAAGGACCATTTCACCATCGTGAATGTGGACGCACAAACAGATGGTAAACAGATCATAAAAAAAGACCCTGTTCAGTCCTGATTATTCATATAAATTACATCATCATTGCACTACGTTAAGCTGAATTACTGAACTTTTTTGTGAAAGGATTCAGATATGCGTTAAGTTACAGTCAAAAAGCTAATTCAACTTGGATTAGTCAAAGTGTGATTCCAACCCACATACAATACTGTATATTACTGTTACTGTGTGCTGGACAACCCTGTAGTGTGTACCCACTGAGGTGGTAGTGCTCCCTTTACACTAACCAGTTCTTTTTCCCCGTTTCCTAAGCCCACACACACTGAAGCAACCTCTAGTGGCCTCCTGCAGCACGGCTGCTCCCCGTTGTCCAGTCGATGAATATGAAGCTCAGACTCATTACCATGAAGGAGACGCCCAGGGCAGCAAAACAGACAGCCTAGAAACGAGGGGAAAGCACACCAGTGGTACAGAAGCTTCATTATCAAGAACTCTGGTATGTAAAATAGACCACAAAAAGGCCCGCATCACCATACTAGTATAATCACTGGTTCAGGACTACATGACAAAGCTTCTAATGGCTCACCACAATCTTATGAACGGAGTTCATGGGTTCATCATCTTTGGGGACGATGCGGATGTAGAAAACAGCAGGGAAGATGAAAATGAGGCAGGGAGCCGACGTGGCACCTGAGTAAAGCATAAAGAGGAAGGACTGGTCAAAAACAAAGCATACAGCAATATACAGAGAGTTTTATTGAATGCAGTCATAAACATTTGAAACATATATAAGATTTTTTTTTAAAAGGTTCAGATTTCCTTTTAACATATTTCCAGCTGGATTTTATGTCCTCATGCATCATGTAGCCTACTGTGCATACGATTTTAGCTTAATGACAGAAAGTAATATTTATATGACTATATCCAAAGACTGAAATTATATTTTAGTTTGTCCTGGTTTTGATGATGAGGAAAACAGATTAAATAAATTGTACCAAGTAATTAATCCAAACATTATTAAACTTGAAAAGAGGGGTCATCATGGAATAAAGCGTTTTATTTTGGGTTCTTTAAAGAGGCTGTTTGTAAGTTGTCTCTGGTACGTAAAAAGCTGTTAGCTATGTAACTTGTTAGCTATGTAGCAATAGCAAAACTTACAAATGGCTCCTTTAAAGTCTAAAGCACTCAAAATATTTTAATGAATTATTTTTATGAATAAGAGAGCATTCAATACAGTTTACCAATACAAATACCAGGCCTTTTTGTAACAAACACAGCTCAGTAAATCTTATGATAGAAAGTGAGGAGAAAACACAAAGAGCTGCCTTATGCACTCTCCTGTGAGTAAAAACAATTAAACAAAAAAAAGTTACAGGAGGCTTGCTTTGCAAATTATATTTTCACTCAGATTTTTGTATTTTTGTCACCAGTTTTTGAACTCAGAATAAACGCAGCTAAATTACCAGATTGTGAGCTCTAAACAAACAACCAGCTCCATTGCGTCATCTGACAGTGTGAGTTATATTTGTATGTTTCTGTATACTGATATGCATTCAAGTACATCCTGAATGTACCCCCACATGTGTACTTAAATGCATCCACATGTTTTGTCAAAGCAGAAACCGTTGCTTTGAAGATGTCCTTGGCGGTCCTTTAACTTAAATCTTTTCAACTTTCACCTCTAACCTATGAAACGTTGCCTCCAATCTGAGGACAGAACATGACAATAATATTGACACAAGCCAACAGTTTGTCCGTGAACAAACATGTCATGTTTTTTAGTTTTGCTTTTAATGGCCTGAAACATAATGACACTGCCATGTCAAACAGGAGGTTTCAGTATGTAAACAGAGACAGAATAAGTAACCAACGATCACACTGTATGTAGCATATAACCTATGGTCAAATAAGTCCAGACATGTGGATGAGACTTCTAGGAAACATTAAATGCTCTTTTTAAGAATCTCAGGGATTTTTCTGTTGTTATTTGGTAATATAGGATAAGATATAAGATATAACAGGAAGAGCTAAAGACATAAAAGGCTCATGTCTCAGAAGTGCCTCGTACAGTTTTAGACATTACAGCCTATCTGTGGGACTAGTCCATCTTTATACTATTTCAAGTGTGTGGCACTAGAAATGTTAAAGGGGCTAAGTTTTCTCTGATGCTGAACATGGTTTCTTGCCGGGAGTGGGTGATTGACGCTTGACAAGAGCTTCGGCCATCTTTGTCTTTATAATACAAGAGGTTATAATTCACCTTCTGAGTATCGCTATGTCTTCAGGGCAGATTGGAGGCTACGGTGACTTGCTATGGGAAAATGAGGAGACAGGCCGGGGCTAGCTGTTTAGCATGCCAACTTCAGTAGAAGAAAAGACGTGATAGAAACAAGAGTTAACACTGCTGTTGCTTGCTAAAAGGAATGAAATTTGATGCTGAACTTGCAAAGTTTCTTCTAAACTGGTAAGTAAACAGCTGTTAATGTGTTAGCTATGTAGCAATAGCAAAACTTACAAATAGTTCCTCTAAGTTTTAAACTAACCAATGATGCCGAAGATGCCCAGAATGTTTGGAGCAAATATCACCAGCATGTTGATGGAGGTGAGCAGAATGAGAGCAATGGCAATGTGACGCAACCAGTTGAAAGCCTTGGTGGGGAATAACATCTGCTGGATGGCTCTACGCACCTGTGGACAGAAACAAACAGTTAATTTAATAAGGAAATAATACCACAATATAAGATTCATCTAGCACTGCAGGTGCAACTAATCAAAAACAAACTCACGGGGAACAACACAATAGGGACGGTCAGTGTGACAGCGGTGAGGACGGCCACTCGCACACACAGGATCAAAGTGTCATAAGGATCGATCCGGTTGTAAGTGTGCAGCAGTTCAGGCTCCACATTGTCTGCAGGAATATAAAGAGAACATATTTTATTAATACATGTGACTGTCACTCAGTAATACTGTACCTTCTGGCAGTGGACAACATCATTATAACAAACAACCACCACAAGAGGGAGCTTTCATTCTATGTGTAGAAATGCAAAAGGTAGATAAGTAAAGGCTCAGTAAGTGATTTTACTTCAACCATGAATACTGTGTGTCAAAAGACAAGACTGGGCAATACTAAAAAAACATATAGTGAATTAAACCATTGATTAAGAAATTCATAAAACGACGACTTTCTCTTGCCAAAAAAATGTTACAGTAAAATTTAAGATTTTACTGCTTAAATAGAGAAGAGCACCGGTTCATCACAAAATCAGGCCCTGTAGATTTTCCTTATAATATTTCTTATAGATATTTCCAAAGTTAATATCATCATTTCACTATTTTCTGAACCATAGTTGCCTCTTTTCTAATAAAGCATCTCTCAGTTCTACGGCCTCTAAGCCAAACAGTATTCCTTTTGCCTCTCATTAAATCTTTTCACAATAAGAAACATCGATCTGATTTGGGCATAAATGTATGTATAAATGTCCTTTACTGCAAACACAAACTCCAAACGAAGTGCCACAGACAGCTGTTCTCACCGTAAAAGGTTAGGTAGCCAAAGAGGGCTGCTAGAAAGTACATGGTGTACATGACTAAGATGGAGATGTTTGACACCTTCTGCATCTTCTTCTGTGTTGGACTGAAATCAGAGACAGTTGAATATTATGTGAACGCCAAATTCTGCACTGACATGCTATCAAATATTGAAGGTTAGAGAGGGATGACTCACTTGCGGAGTTCGGTGTAGATGGGCAGGACCTCAGGGTGGCATACAAAGGCGAAAGCCAAGATGGGGATGGTGTATGCTGTCTGTGAAGAGACCCACAAACACGTGATTTTCAACCGAGCATTTCAAAATAAGTGTGGGAACACCTGCAGAACTCAATCTTCAGAAACGATCCAGATATGAAAACTGCATCTTCACTTCAGACGCCTACCTGTGAGTTGATGGTGAACATGCGTGGGTAGCAGTGAGAGTCTTCGTCGTCCGCGTGAACCAGACCATTGTTGTACTCGTGGCCGTGGCTTGAGACGTTCACGCTGAGGTGGGCAGCAGTGCTGTTGGCTGAGAACTCCTCGAACGGGCAGGGAATCTGAAACTTCTTATAGATAACCTGCAGAGAGATGCAAAAAGAGGGAAGAAAAGCGAGGATATAATCAAAGAAAGGATCAGATTAGTGTGACTCAGCCTCTAAGTACTTAGCTTTTACTCTCAACCTTTGATGTCCGTAAGCAGCTCTTAAATTCGCCTTATCAAACATAGCCACATACCACTGAAAATAGAGACAAGTGTGGGAAAGAGATGAGGGTGGGAAAGCAAGTAACATATGTGCCAAGATGACATGCCAGAACAAATGAGGCTCCTTGTGAAGAGTCACAGTGGTGATGTGCCGCTATGTGAGCTGGAACAACTTACTGCGCTGAGAAAGAACACCATGCAGCTGAGAGAAAATCCGCTGGTATAACCAAGGTAACCTGAAAAGAAAGCGAACAAGACAGTTAACGTGACAGCTTTTTTAAACTGAACTAATCCGTTTGGTCTTCATGTGTTGTTTGGGACTATATAAGCTTTATCAGTTACACAAGAAGTCGAGAAAGTTTATAGTCAGATTTCCTACTGCTCTATAAATGAGGCTTATTACAAAAACATCGCTATGATATCAGAAGGGGCATGTTTATTTCATGTTGTAGTGAGTAGCTCAGACTGGACTATAGAGTGTGATCATCCCAGGAAAAGAGATATCTAATTGGGCACCTGCTGCTTCCGCTGCCAGTGGTGGAATAAAAACACACTAATTACTTGACTTTGAGGTAAATGTTCCATCAAGATGTCATTATGTAAGTTGGCTCAAGGTCAAACGAAAGCATATCTTAATAAAAGATAGAAAATATTCTTGAAAAGAAACCAGCAAATGCACGAATCAGATAAGCATACTGCAGTAAAATGTAAAATGCTTTGAAATGCGGAGGACAAGAACCAAAATAGAATGAGCTGACTAAAGCTTAAGGGTCTAAACGTCAAAGCTACATCACACAACAGAGCTTGAGTAAAAACAGAAAATCTTCCAGTACAAGGACGTCATTGACCAATAGTCTCTTAAAGTTTGGGGGGAGCACAGGAAGTGGTGCTCCAGGCTCCAAGAGAAAAAAACAAAAGTTAAAGTTAGAAGTTAAAATAGAGCATGTGAAATTTTCGATTTAACAACACATTGTGACATTTTAATTTAATACTCATATTTTTACTTAATATCTAATAATTTAACTTAGCAAATCAATTTTTAAAGGCACTTTAGGCTTTTATACAGAGATGAAAGACATTCAAGAGAAGACAGGAAATGAGAGCGAGAGATGAAACGAAGGTTCCCAGCAAGACTTGAACTGGGGACACTGCAGGTCGTGTTCAGCCAGTAAGTCAAAACATTTGGACTTAGCAGGCACTCAGCCCGAAATCGGCCCCGTATAGAAAACACAGCAGAGGGATGTTTTTTATTACAGGGCTACTGTCAGTTTGAACGCGACCTAAAACCTCATAATTTTGATTTAGTAAGTCATCATCATCATTTTAACTTAGTATTACAATTTTGACACACTGACCATGAGTGTTTTTAATTTTTGTCATTGCTAAAAACTTCCACTCTCCTGTGGCTGTGCCCTGCTTGAGACCATGAAAAGAGTCTAAAATATACAGGTTATACGCCTCATTCACATCTGTTACATCAGATTAATGATCCTTTGTGTTAGATGCAGATGTCTCAAAAATAAATATCGGGGAGAGGACAACAGGCAGAAATGCCAGCAAACATGTACAACTGTAGTGTTACTCACCAAGTTGCTTCATTAAAGCCAGGGGCAGGATGATACTGGCAGAGACCATGATGACCAGGTAGTTTCCATTCATGTACCACAGACTGTTTGGAGAAAAGTCTAGTTTACTTTGGTGAGCTCAATATTTCAAACACTGGCACAGAGACACAGCACACAGAGACACATACATACAAAAATAGACTAGGGACTGAGATGGTGAGAGATTGCTTTGCTCATTTAGTGAAACTGTTGGTGCTGCTTATTCTAAAATCACACAGTCTGAGAGCACTTGTTTGAATGTCACCAGGTTGTAAAAAATCTCTCGGGCCAAATGGTTGATGTGTTGGATTTTGGTAGGACAACAGCAGCCCGCTGGGAACATCACTGGCCTCAAGATTGTGGAAAAAACGTGTCTGCTTATGTTGCTCTCGACAGTAGCACTGGAATAGACTGTTACATAATGGATGATGTATGTGACAGTTCACAGTTGCAGAGAAGGAGGACATAGTGGAGCCTACACAACACAAAGGACAGATGAAGTCAGTGAATATTACCAATGTCAGCTTCACAGCCTTTGCCATCTCTGTCCTTCATGTCCTGTTTCTCAACTCGTATTATGACACAGAGCCATCCAAAAACAGTTCCCAATCCAAAAGGCATTGCTTAAAGGGCTTTGGATCAAGGATAAAAAACATATGAGGTTGGAATGACACATCCAATCTTAGCCCTGCTTCCCCCCTTCAATCCAATGTGGGACCTTGCTGCTGTATCACTGTGTGCTATATGTGGGCACCACACATATCCTCCCATTAAACAAACATCCTGTGAATGCCCCTTAAAAAACACAGCTCCCTCGTATAACCTAAATAGCCGACACGACACGCTCACGCGGACATGTCATTGCGTTCTGTGTTGATCTGTTACAGTGACCTACTCTTGTAACACTGGAAGAACATAAGATATCTCACCAGCTACAACATTATTGTTTACAGTAAACAGAAGGTAAAAGGTTCAACAGCTTGTTTATTGTCACATAAATAGAAGATTTGTTTCAGTCCATCACCAGTTTACTTAATGGAGTAGAAAAGACAAACTTTCCTTTGCATGACTCACTCAGGAAAACATATTGACTGTAAATCTTAAACATCAGTAGCTTTACACCTGAGAAGACCACCAGCAACACGCAGCTTATAGAAATGATTGTCAAACCATTAAAGACCACTGTCTCCTAAATCCTGTTTATAGAAAGCTTTTTGTGCCCCTCTTTAAGCTGCTAAGCCTGTTATTCTAAACCCATCCGAACGGGACACCACCAGTGGGATCAGCTGTCTGCCACGGCAGTACAGGCTGTAACATACAGTGATCTACGAGACCGGCGGTGTCTCTTCCTTGAAAGCATGGGAAGTCGCACGAGTCACAGGTCACGCCCTCTTTGGACTTCTTGTCAGTAGGTCATTTCTGATGATCGTCTTTCACTTGTGGCCGCTGTGGATCCAAGGCTGTTAAGGATAAGTCAAACCTCTCGACAGTTGAGACCAATCCAAGTCCAGTTTCAGTTTACTGAGGACAAGCACAGGTCACGCTGCTAGTCTTCATAAGCAAACTGCAAGTCTTGCATTTGAACATTTTCCTGCTGAGGTCAAGTGTTTGCAGTGCAGAGGCCTTGTAATTAAATATTTAAGCTGTGTGGTTAACAAAGGCCTGTCTGGCACTGTATTTTTTTAATTTTTTTTTATAAAATTTTACACGACCAATGATACTGGCTTGTGATATTACGTTGTAACCAAAATATTAGCACTGGTGTATGTGTCAGATGATTATTAACAAGAAACCCCACAACTTGAGAGCACTGACAAGTGCATTTCCAACTTTATTTATTTTAACTTTTATTCTTAAATTCTAAAAAGTCCCTATCTGCACATATCTTTGGCTGATAGATCGTTCTCAAATTCTTTTAATTCTCAAATAGATGAAATATCAATCACGCTCTGGTCTTTAGGGAGTCGAGTCTCACTGCAGTCTCAAAGCCTCCTTTTTGTGACTTCAGTCTGTCCCAAGTTCAAGTCTGAGGGTCTGCAGCCCTGAGATCCTCTCCCTGTGTGACCAAGCTGAGACTCTGCACTGCAACCTGTACATTGTACCTGATAATCCTCATACAAACTCCATAAGAAATGTGTCCATATAATTCATGTGTACGTCTTCGTCTATTGCTAGAAACTATTTATTTATCTTCCCCTAGGCAATCTTAGTGAAAAGTGAAAGGTACTTGTCCGTCCGTCTGCTACACATCATGGCCATCTATATTTAGATAGCCACAGGTCATAAATAAAGCCACAGCCCCACCACCCGCCACCCCTCATTCCACTGTGCCCTCCTGACGCCACAGATTTGAACAGCAAGAGGTGCATCAAGTGGAAATGAACAGTGTGTGTCTCGGTTGTTGAGAGCTGGCCCTGAGCTGACCTGTCCTTATGCACGACCTCGGAATTTGGCACCCATGTTATACCACCTGCTGCTGTCATTAGTGCTTGTGTGTGTCTGTGTGTGTGTGAGACAGAGAGAGAGTGAGAGAGAGAGAGAGAGAGAGACATAATACTTAATATGATTTTGATTGTATCTAAGCTTCTGACCCCGACATTAATACACACAAAGACAGATATAAGTATATGAGTTTATCTGATCAGTGATAAAGGGTAATGACATGCCCTTCAGGAGGCGCAGGCCCACATTTGAGAGGTATCTTAAGGGTATGGTCAAAAAATTGGAAAGACGAGAGCAGCAGCATGATGGAGAGACAGGTCAGGCCACAACCATAGTTGGATATCTTGTATAGATGCTGTTTATTGTGTATTGAATTTAATGTCAGGTCTCTAAGAGGGCTGTCTGGATGTTTAGCCCCAATATGTAAAACACAAGGTTGCTGACATTTCTGAAAAGTTTATGTTCCAGGCCTGAGATGTTTTTAAAGGGAAGTGGCTGCAGTCGCTGCAATCCCTTCTGAGCACAAGGTTTGTTTTTAGATTTCAACAGGCAGCTGGAATCCACTTCAGTCCTCCATGGCCTTATGCAGAGTGTCTGTGGCATGACTCTGACGTGAACAGTGCTTGCCTCCACAAGCTGAAAGTACTGAGGGTTTATGTTGTGTGTATACATAACTGACAGATACCCAACTGTAGCCCCCCCACCCCCACCCCCGTCTGTTGCTCAGCCAATTACAAACTGCCATTCTCATCACACCCCCCCCCTCCCCCCCTCACTGACTGAATCAATGAATGGTGCAAACTGACATATTCACTGGCCACAAAGTCTGCCAGGCCTCTTGACCCTGCGCACAGTGTCTGAGCTCTGGGCCAACAGCAGGCAGGAATCATGTGCCTTCAACAAGCAGCGCAGGGATGTTGTTGATGGGAAGCGCAGCGATGATAATACTCACTCAGAGTTGGGATCTGCCTTCAGGAAAGCCTGGATGACCAGCGGTAACTCAGATTTAACAATGTAGAGGTAGCTGGACATCGCTGTAATAAAACAAGACAAAGGAAATGTGAAAATGAGCAGCCGAGTGACTAGTACGCTGGCAAACTGGACAAACAAACATCGTCAAAGCCATGTCACAAGAACACTTATCATACTGTGTTTGTGTAAGTGACGAAGCAGAAGCTAGTACTGAGGACACTGAGGTCATGCCATGTCATGTTTTTTCTGGGAATTTGGGGTATTTCAGTAACCAGGGGAAGGTTACTTTTTACAATTTAACAAAATTTTAAAAAAATGGCAATATATCATCCAGAGATTACACTTAAATCAATTTTTTCTGTAATTTTTCTAGCAAAAATGCCAAGCATGATCAAGTTCTAGCTTCTCCACTGTGAGGATTTGCTGCTTTTCTCTGTTTTATGTGATAGTAAATCAGCTGTCTTTGACTTCTGCATTGTTGGTTGAGCAAAACAAGCAATTTAATGACATCCTCTTGGTCTTTAGGGAACTGTGAAATACCAAGTATCTCAACAGTAATTCATTCTTAACTGTTGGACTTACTTTCAGGCTGAAAAAGCAAAATGAAAAGTGTTGCATTCAGTCTCTGAGCTCTATGAATTTAACCTTTTTTGCTTAATGACAGTCTAATGTGTCTGACCAACTTTGGGCAGACACATCTGATCACAGATGCTGTTCAGTGAGTGGGAGCAACTTTTATTAATGGCAAAACCTCAGTGAACACAGCTGTTTACCAACAGGTCTACTGGTCTTTGCTCTTAATACAAACCTATATTCCATACTTAAATAGATGTGCAGCCCAGAACAAAAGCCAAAGTATTGCTAGTGCTTTCAGTGAATATGGATGTGTGATGGTTGGGTAATGTGGGATATAAACTCTAATCCATTTGATGGTGTGTAATTCCTGTTTTCTGCTACAGGGAGTTTACAAACAGGCGAACGCATTAACCGCACAGTCACTGTGGCTCCTCACCTCCAATATTCTGCAGGGTAATTGCTATACCAGCAGCCATTTTTCCAGGAGTGCCAAAGGCTCTGTACCCCAGCTGTTCATAAGCTCGAATTCCTGTAAGTAGATAATACTTTATAAACAATCATTTTCACGTCTGCTGAGACATCTCTTTGAGCAACACGATAAAAAACAAGAAATAAAACACAAAAAAATGACCAAGAATTATGTTGGTTTTAATATTTGTGAAGTAATATTTGTCTACACACTATAAACTTTACACCAGATTATAGAATAATCAAACTCAATTTAATTTCCCTTCTTATTAACAGTCTAAATTAGATTAGAGAAACTAAGTGGACTGGAAACCTAAACAATAATTTAATTATAACTGCCTAGATTACTGCTATAGTGAGTGTGCTTAAACCAGTGAACTATAAAAACTGTTGATCCTTGCCCCTTTTTAAATTAATGTTTTGTTTTTTTTGTCATTTTGGTAGTGTAACTTTATAACATGTACAGTGGTTGTACTGTTTCACTGCAAAAGGCCTGGACATGGCACAAGGCTTACCCACAATGCCAGAGGATTTGAGCAGCAGATGAATGGAGTAAGATGACAGGGCTGCCACTGCAGTCAGAAGAAACCTGTGACACAATACAAAAGGTCATATGCCATTGTTACATGTCAACTTTATATTTATCCAGTTTTTTGCATTCCTTGGATTACAAGCCTGGCATTCCTTCATTTGCAATAGGTTCTCTACATCCATGTCCTGCCTTAGCATGGGATTTTGGAGCCGATGCTGCTCACTGCTTCAAAATGCTTATTGTATTACTGTAACACAATATTAACAGCTGACACAAACAATAGGAGGCATTCTTGAAACAGTAAGTCTTTTTAAATAAAAGAATAGAAATGTACTCCATTGATGAAGGTCAACAGTCTTACACAAGGATGAAAATGTTATTTCCCATAACCCCTTTGTCTGGTGAGTTGTAGTGGTCCTCCTACAGAGGCACAGAGCCACGGGCAAGGGCTCTCAGGTCAACATTCCTGAAGAGTCAGAGGCTGATCTCAAATCCATCACCTTTCTCAGACCTTTTCCCAGCATTTCCGTACACTTTTGTATTTCTTGTAGCCACAACTGAAGTGGGAATCTTTAGGGGTGGAGATCAAGCCCTGAGATTCCACTGAACAGTAACTAGTGCTGTCACAAAGGCCGTGTAAACTGTCTGAGCTCCCTCAACTCACAAAATAGTGTTTATTTGTGTCTGTTGGTAATAACCACATTTGATGCCTTGTCTAAATGAAGAAGTATCCCTCTCTGGATCCTGACACCCTGGTGAAATATTCAGCAAGGCGCTTGGCTTTTCATAACTGCTCTATTTCTGTATCGCAACGGAAATATGCTGATGAGGTCTGAGAATCTCTATTTGTATCGCGGTTAGTGGATCATGATGTCTCTGAGGCAACAAAGAACAAACATCAAAGCAAGCCTATATACAAATATAAATGTCTGAAAATGTAAAAAACATAAATACTGCACATATTTTTAATAGATGTGCTCTGAAAAATGTGTTCAAATAACTATGCAGTTCACTAGGAAGCTTGCATCAATGTTTTCTTGCGTAAAGGTTATTATACAGCGATATAAAGCCCACAATATTGTTTCTCTTGAAATACACACTCTTTTGTTTTTTCTTTCTAGGAATTAAGCATTTTAAATTCCTCCAGCCTGTTCCTTTTTACAAGAGTCACATGCTTTTAATTCCATAGAAATCAGGGATTAAACAGATTTTTAAAAAAGAAGAAAAAAAAGCAGATTGCATTTTATGCAAGGGTTTATGAAAGGCGTTGTTTCGTGCTATAGACCAAACACAAAGAAAGGTTTACAGTGAGATACAGTACGATGAAAATAGGTTTGTTTTAATACTGATTTGTCCTATTGTGTATGTCAAATAGATAAAAAGAGATACTATATCTTAAAGTTGCTGAAACAGTTAGGTATGAAAAAAACATTTATATTAAACAAAACTTTCCAATAAGCTTTTAGCAGTCTTGAACCTTTGCTACAGTTTAACATATGTGATCCAATCTGAGCACCGCGGTGAGAAATTTCATAAGAGGAGCTATTCTTCGAAAGTTCTAGCATCGATCTGACTTCCCTTTTCCACGGTTGAAGCTAATGCTGAGGCCATTCTCGATTTCAGTCCTGCTACTTGCTCTGTGAAGCTACACAGACTACATGATCAAGACTACCAGGGTCATGGTCTGACAGCAGCCGTCTGCACGGAGCAGAAGGAACTAAATGAGCAATCCAGATGCCTCACACAGGGTCTGGAAGTTCGGTTATTCTGGGCTGTGGCCTTTCTGGGGTCTCTATATGTAGCAACGAGGGAGGGGGCGAGAGCCTGAGCAAAACGGCATGAATAGAGGTGAGCATATCATGGGACATGACATGTTACCAGATGTCATGACAGATACTAAATCACTCCTGTAAGTAACTAGCACTACCCTTGCACTTGATCGCACCACAAGTGCAGCCCACTCCTAAAGAGTACATTGGAGATACTCAGGACCTCGTCATGCTTTTGACAACTGTTTAGTTTCTTTTTTTACTACTTTTTTTGAGTGTATTCAACCATTTACCAGACTCCACCCTTCACTAAATTAGCACCACTATAGCCAAAGGTCCATGTAAAGATGATACGTCAAAAAAAAAAAAAAAACTGATAACAAGTCAGCACTGCACCCATTAACATAAGTGACTTTGTCTCTGTTTGATAAGTGCGTAGATTCTAGCTGATGTTCTGGAAATGAAACATCACAAACTCACAAGAAGAGGAGTATGCCAGTGTTGGCCATGGCATAGGCCAATCCCAGGATTCCACTGCCCATAATAGCATTACCCAGGTTGAAGACAGACATGCCCAAAGAGGTCTTCCCTTCAAACTGTTGGAAAAAATGAACAAGACCATACAAAATACAAAATCTCTCAACATAATGCTCTTTCTGTTGTTTCATGTCTGTAAACTTGGGCTTTTATACTCACATCTGTGAAGCGTATAGGTTTCTTTCCATCTGCACTGGGCAAAAATTCCTCATTCTCCAGTCCTCCATCAGGATCATCAAATCTAGGGGGGAAATTCATGCCTGTTAATTGATTGTCGATCTATATCAAAAACTGTACACATATCTGCTGCAGACAGTAGTCAAAATCACGCTCTTAAGTTTGTTTGTTTTTTTGCATTATGATATGCATGAAAAAAAATATGCAGAGGAAAAAAGCCCCCATACAAATCTTCACAAACATACCTGACTGTTTGAGTGCCATTTCTGTATAAGGATCCACCCGTTGAGGCAAGCACAAAAACAAGGTAAACATGCATTTAAAAAAGCAAAGATTATGCAGGAAGTAAGTCATTCTGTATGATGCTCACCACATCCGACTCCTGGTCAAATTAATGGGAAACTCTTATCACAGGGACAAAGGTAGATATAAGTAAATCAGTCAAAATCTCAGTTTTTAACTTTTTGAAAATTAACTTAGAAGTCAGTTGTTTTACTTGAAATAATCCAGGATGTGGTTTCCACACAAGTATAACTAATAGAGAACGTCAAAAGGACTTTAACACATGCTGTGTTAAATGCCATTACCAGTATATAAGCAAGAAAGAGCAGCCATTCATTTGTGTGAGACAATACTCACTGATCCTCCTCGAGCAGCGTCTTCATTGGCACACCCATGTCGTCTCCGAGGTCGTGACTTTTCCCATTGGATAGGATGTTCATCTCTGACTGAGCAGGTTCCATGATCCAACTTCAGATTTTTTTTTTTTTGGCTTGTATGTGTTCAACAAAGGTGATCCTTTAAAGTCACTTGGTGTCTCGAAAACCTAGGACAGAGGCAGAAAAGTCATGAATCACAAACAAACAGATGTGTGGGTTTGTTTGTTTGATGTTTCTTTGTTTAAGATGCCTTTCATTGAAAATGTGAAGCACACTTTGAATGTTTAATGTTTTAATGTTTAACCCTGAACACATATTTTCTAAGTCACCTTCCTATTTTTTTCACATGAAAGATTTCTGCATTTTTTTGTTTTGTCTTCTCGCTGGTTTGCTGCCACTGGGTTGGAAAAAGCTGATGTAAAAGGATTTCCATGAACTAATCAGGATCTAGCAATAATCTGTGACATTGTTTCCACACCATACTCAAATCAATCAAATCTGATCAAATAACACTCACACAGTCTGAGTCAGAAACTCTTAACAAATAATACAAAACAATGTTTTTAACTTTAAAATTGTGTGCATTTATTGAATATTGAATATTTTAGAGAAATGCGTTTTTGAAACCATGTTATTTAATAATCAATATTATGATCAAATATAGCTGTTTCACATTAGTAGGGCAAGGATATAATAATTTTTGTTCTCTGTGACTTTGAGGCCAAAGAAAGTAACTTTAGGCTACATCGCTTTAGTGCCTTGCTTTCCAACTGTACAGTTTTGCTGGCTATATTTACCTTTATATATCTCTTTTTCTAACTGTAATTATTAATGGAGTTCATATAGTGTCATGCAGTGTTGCAGAGCATGTTAGCTCTTGTGTTAATCTATTGATATGTCCGGTTTCTGAAATTCTGCGATCAATGACAGACGTCACGGATCCTTCTATTCAATATTTGTCTGTCCAGCAACTGTGCAGCGATGACTCACTTCTGCTGTTGACACAGTGACTTCCAACAACCAAGACCTGACCTCATTCAGTAACTCATTCAATTCATTCACTGAAACTTCTGCTGCACATACACCGGCACATGAACGGCACGCAGCGACATGCTGTAGCTGTAAGTGATCACAGGATGAGATAAAATGCTGGAAACGATGACAAAATTTTTTTGTGCTTTTCCAGAACTTCAGCAATGAGCAAGGCAAACAAGTCCAAAGCACAAGGTCAAAGGTCAAGGTCTATTTGAGTTTTTTTACATTTTTGTTTGCTCTTGTCTTTTGTGTAGTTAAGAGTCACAAGCCTGTAGATTATCACTGTTACTGGTGAGGTCCCACACAATGACAAAGCGGTCATTATGACAAATATAAGCACAAGGTGATAAACAAAATACCAAATCACTCACAAAAAGGGTCCCTTAAATTACTGAGAAAGCAGTTTGCAAAACAGTTATTACTGTAATATTATAATTATATATTTTAACAGTGTTTTGCCTTAACGAGTCTGTGGTTTTCTGCAGCTGTGGTTTGAAGACAGAGGTGGTATAGCTACATTTGTTAACTGAGAAACTATTGTCACTGATTAAAAACTAATAATAAGTTGTCATAGCCCGCCACAACCCCAATGAATCCTCTTCACTATTTCACCCAGAGAGACAATAGCGTGTTGTTCGCCGCTTCCGCTGTGTCCAGTGTACAGCAGCTCAATTGTGTTCACGGTGTCTTCTCTGCCAGAAGATCACTGTTACTGCTATTCATACTGTACAGCTGAAGAGGGTCATTGACACCACGCCACTGTGGCTACAAAAGGAACATGAGAGGAGTAAAACGAAGTCACAATGCATGATACTCGACACAATAATCAGGTATAGTAGCCTATAAAGGAATGAATGATTGACCCCGGTAAAAAAAAGAAGAAAAAAAGCTCTAAATCTGTATCTTATTAAAAACCTATGAACAGCTAACGTCAGTGAAACTTTACATTGCTTCATCTACCCTGAGGTAACACGTCCCTTAATGTCACTATGTAAAAGCCCCTGATGTCAGTGCTTCCTGTTGCATAACTTTGATAATGATCATTTCCGCAGAAGTCGGAGCAGGACTTCACCTTATAAATTACAAATAGCGAGGACTTTTTAAGAGGATGCATACTGTGCCACTGGAGCCCAGGTCAGTTCTATCACTGTTTTTGGTCATTAGCAGCAATAAAAAAAAAGAGGATCAGGACTTATTCTCACCAACAGCAACCCCCTGGGGCCACTGCATTTACAGTAAATACAGCAGGAGGCTCATTAATAACAATGTTGACATTTTTCCACCCATATGATCACTGTTTTGTTGTACTGTACATCTGTAACCTGGCAATATACCCATGTAAGTAAGTGTTTTATACTTCATTTATGTCAATGGTGGCGTATGTTTGCAAACACACTGTGCCTCACATGACATTTGAAAACTACGTTCATTAGTGACATTTGTGAAGAGGTGTAGGTGAAATTCGAGTCTTTTTTTCAGTGCTTGGTATAAATTAATCTTAAGTTATCAGAAGGTATCGTTTACACTTTCAATAAGATAAAATCCAAATTTTTCTACACGTATATTTATCACAGGAAATAACAGAAAAAAAACCCCAAATCTTATCTTGGCTCTAAAAAAAACAGAACATGAAAGCACTTGCCTCTAAGCAGTTTAGAATAGTTTATAATATTTCAAATAAAAATATTGATTGCAACAGGCAGCTCTGATGATTTTGCGTAAGAATAAATGCAACCACTGGTCACACCAAGGTCTGAGGTCTTTCATTTTCAAATAAATTCAAAGAAGCTTCTTGGGGGGAAAAAATACGTACCTTGGTTCTCATTATATGGAAAACAGTGACAGTGTGAATTATTTCCAATTAATCTTCTAGAGCAGTAGTTCTCAAACTTTTTCACATCAAAGGTCCCTAAACTGACACAAACTTCACTGAATCCCATCTGATAAGAGTTTTGCTTTTAGATGTTTTATTACAAAGTGTTTGGAATCCATGACCAAAATAGTCATATATTATGTTATGGATGGAATTCTGTTGAAAATGAATTAATCCTCTTTTTGAGGGCCCCCCCTCAAGGGCCGCTGGTGGTCCCCAGACCCACTTTGAGAACCACTGTGCTTGAGAATCTGTGCTAGAGACCAAAGTAATAATACAATTCAATATAAAGGATTTGGAGAGAGTAAAGTATATCCCTAAATATCCCTAATTTCCTTAATATAATTACCAAATAATAATGTTCTTTCGTGGAAACTTCCATTGGAAACTATTAGAGAAATTACAGACTCATAAGATACATCAAAATAAATTACCAGGTGTTTGGCTTTCAGGAAGTCTCTGTAAAGACCCGTGTGATCACTTCCATCTGTTGCCGTTCTGTGTTAAATCCAAGCCAACTATACCACATGGGCCTTACCAAAATTGAACTCAAAAACATGGTGTGTTTGGGTTCGTGATCTAGTGTGGCTTTCCACTTCCACCCATTCTGGTGGACGCATGCAGTCAATCAGCAGCATTGATACTGAACTGACTGAGCTGAGGCACCGTGGAGCAGCATCTAACGTGGACCGACCAAGGACAGAACAAGTCTGAGATCAGGTAGCTGTATGCAAAATCAGTTCTGTAAACACACACGGTTGCTGCTACTATTTCTGCTGTGTAATTTTATCTGGCAATGGGTGAATGGCAGGCTAGACAGTTCAACCATATGTGCATCTATAAACATGTCCGTCAAGATGAGCCAGGGCAGCTTGTTAGAGACTTGACATAGTATGTGGTTTATGAAGTGATTGTTGTGCCGCTGCTATTTCCTCATTCTATATTATTGAAACACATATTTACTACTAACCTTTAGAGTCCTGGCACTTTAGTTGTATAATCTAATTGTTTTTATTAATAAATCCAAATGAAAAAAAAAAAGATTAGCTTGATGAAGACTGGGAATTGGTTTGCTGCTCAAAGTGTGACTTATGATACCAGTTGTTTTAGTAGAGATGGATTATGTATGTAAAATATCCATGAATCTTTAACACCAAATTTGTGCAAACTCTGGTGCAAAGGAAGGGGCATTAATTTATTGTTTTTGGCAAGAGATGCAAAAATGAAAATAAAACTTGATATTGCTCCTTCTCATCCACGTCTCTGTGTCCAAGCCATGAAAACGTTCTATTTCTAAGTATCTCCACACATCCTAAACAGATGGAGATCATTTATTTACTACCTGTTTTGGTAAGGAACGCACTGTTTCTACGTCATGAAATAAATTCTAAAATAATTTACTGCTTATTTACTGTTAATTAATACTGATCTCTGTCTATCTGAGAAAATGCCCTATGAGCATATGGTATTCTACTGAGCACCAGAGGGGGTCACCTTACACTTTTACACTCTACTGGAGCCCCAAGTGAGTTCTGTTACGTAACAAATCGGCCATGAAGAGGCATGAAAATGAAAAGTCCCATTCTGAGGACTTATGTGACATTTGAAATGTTTGAACAGGTGGGCGGGTGAATTACAATTAGTTGTTTGAGTTTGTTATTTTTTCCGTTAAAGTGAGAGAGCAGCTATTTATAAATCATTTTACTTTCAAAAGAGCTGTAGCTGCTGTATTCTCGACAATTATTTCCCATCTCTTCTTGTGCCAGCTGGGCATAAAACAGGCAGAGGCACGGAACAAGTGTGGGGGGCGGTGGGCGAGCACATGTAGATGAGGAGATGCCCATGTGGTGGTGTATCAGGAACAGGCACGAGGTTCAGCCAAGAGCGCCTGGCAGCACCAGCTCATCCTTCGGCCACGTGCTCTGCTGGGGACAGAGGAACACATGCTCGTGCCCTGCGATATCGGCCACCACCTGAATCAAGTATTCCGCTCCATGGCAACGCGGGCTTTTATTATGGTGAATTTCTCATGGATTACATCCCTTGTAAATGCTCTAAATAACTTCTAAATGTTGAAATGAACAAAATGTTGGAGCATTTTTTTGAGTAACGCCATAAATATGATCCTTACATGCAACTGATTACAAAATGTTATTGTGAGAGAAAAGTAATTCACTCAGTGCATAAACTAGTTAATTACTATCCCTCCCATTATATGCTACTGAGTTAGATTCATTTTGGTGTTTTCAAGTACAGTAAAAAGTAACATCTGACAACAATTAATTGAACCATTGAGCCATGTTTTACCCTCTGCCCCCCTGTATATCAATATGCTTAAATAGTTATAACACTCAGCAAATAGTTTCAGCCATTTTGACTAGATAATCAACACACATTCTCTATGGTACATATATTAAACATATTATACCAGTAGTAGGTTAAACAACAACAAAAAAAAGTTTCTAAATGTTTGAACCTGAATTCATTGTTAAAAAAAATAAATATATATGTATACATATAGATACAATTAGATACATTCCTATACCCTTTGGTCAGCACGATCATTTCACCTTCATCCACTAATGCAAATGTTCAAATATACACAACAAAAGATATGAGCTGTGACATTCATGCTAAAATGGACAGTAGCTCCCTGCATCACCTGCCTGTTTCCAAGCAGTGTGATGCATGACAGAACACACACACTAATGATTTAACTGAATCACGAGTCAGCCCCTGAGCCAGAGGCAAAACCAGCATTTTCACCAAAGGAATTAGTTTCACAACACAATTCAGTTTAATCTACAGCACATGCTTCATCAGTCTGTTTAAATGCTGTTAATGAATTCTACATATTAAAGCTGTAGGTTGTAAATGTTGGCAAATTGGGGTACATGGTAAATGTAAGTGAACCCTGTGTCCACTATGTACAAGTGTAAAAAAAAAAATGTCTGCTGCAATCTACAAGACAAACAAAGATGTAAATGTAGATGTAAAAATAACATTTAGGAATAAGACCAAAAAAATGCAACTGCAAAAGTCTTTCATCTATACATTGTTCAGGAAAAGTTTGTAGCCTATTGAATTTACTTTAGCACAGATCTTTGTGTGGAGGTCAGGTGAAGAAGTTTCCCCTGACTGTTGAACACAAACATTCATCAGAAACCAAAGTCCTCCATTATACTGTACAGTAAACAACATATAAAAATATAAAAATCTGCATGTTTGGTGACTCATTTGCAAGAGCATTAGCTACAACTCTATATTGATGTGCATTATACAGCAGCTTTGACTTCTCTGTGTGGTTGAGCCAGATTTAAAAGGAATTTAAGAAAAAAAAAAGAAAAAAAAAATCAGCATTTAAGCGACATTCAGAGACACACATGGTCAGTGATGATCACAAACAGGCGATATCCAATTTAATAAAAGTGTTTGAGAATGTTTAATAAACCATCATCTCATCATCAGCCCATTAAGTACCTCACAGAATTTATACGCAGGCTGTCTCCTTCTGACTCCTTCTCTCACACAGACTGACTGAATGAATCGTTGAAGGGATGGTAAAAGGAAGCAGCACTTCTACATCGCACAAAGGGAGCCAAGATATAATTTAACATGCTGTTTTACAAGTGGCCAAAGCTAAATCTGTGTTTACACAAGGATTTAACTAAGAATATTAAGCTCAGCTCTTTAAAAGATGATTTGCAGAGCAACAGCGAACTGCCCCACAATCCTCCCCTGCTGCACCATGGTGGCAGGTGAGGTGTTCGCTGGACCGCTGAAATCTGCCAGCTACAGAGGCAAGTGCACCACTTCTGTTTTCCTTTGATCCACGGGGGTATGACCAAACATGAAGTTCCCGAACATATAGAAAGTAATGACTCAGGATCAAATTGAGTCTGTTGAACTGAGCATGAGCATGTCTTCAGCCCGCAACGTTTCTGGTTAGAATACAGCAGGGAGACACCAACACAGGAATACCTGTACAATGTGGAGGAAACACTCTGCTATAAACTCTGCCTTTGTTTGCAATGGCACTATTGATAATAACATTATGTCCAGATTCCTGTTGTCTGCAGACTCTACTCTACAATGAAGACTAAGTGTAAAACTGATGGGAACAATGGTCATGATAATGAAGTTGAAAAAAAAAACCAAAAAAACATTTTTTACTTTCTGGTCCGCTACTGTTTTGGTTCCCCTTCACTGCCCTTATTGCTTTGTTTGGCTGGAGAAGCTGTGTTCGTTGAAACTGCTTTATTAAATATTAAACCTGCAATAACTGATGAGAGTGAACCGTAACAGTGAACTGAACAATGAGGAGAAACTTTGACATAAAGCTCCGTAAAACCAAGGGGAGCTACAGATTCAGGTGATAATTATCCTGTAAGATAAACAGGAACGTCCATCTCACGTTGTCACATTGTTTTCACATTTTTATTCCATATTGTTATTACACAACAATATGGAATAACAAGGTGAGTAGATATCTGCCTGTTGCAGCTTTACATATTTTGTATTGTTCCAGGTCAAAACTTGAGACTTGAATGTCTTTATTTTCAAATCCAAAGTCAAGACAAGTCTTTAGGAGAGCCCGACCGATATATCAGCTTATATAACTTCACTGCTGACGTCCAATATATGCTAAAGTTTCCTCGCTTGCCAAGTATATGGTGATTTATTTCTTGTGACTGTTCAAATACAATGACATGTGGCTCTCTCTGGAATTTTAAAGGCTGCATATATTAGCTTGAGATCCTATGTTTTGGCACTGGTTGCTCCAGAGGGAACAAACTCGTGGGAGTGTTGGTGCCATTAAAGAAATCTTTAAGATGAAAGGGCCGGCATGGAGAACATTTTATCTTCAAACTCCTCTCAGAGGATTAGATCAGTTCACTCACATCCATAAATTTATACCTAAACAAATGAATCCATTTGAATACACAATATCAACAAAAGACAATGACTTTCCAGTGACTTCAATATAAATAGACAACAGCACATGATAGGGTCAGGTTCAGCTCCACAGATTATGAGCCCCATGACAACGATAATAATAACCTCTGGAGTGGCCGATACTTAACACTTGGGGCTGACTCAAACGCAGATATTCACAGGTCTCTTCAGAGTGACGGAAGAGCACAACTGGCTGCTTCCCACATGGATAAAACATCGCCCCCACCCCAACCCTAACCCCACACACACACAAACACACACACACACACGGCGCACCTGTCCAGCTCCTGCTCCAGCTCCCAGCACATGCTGAGGTCAGTGACCATGGTCAGGCTTATCTGCTCATTCTCCTCTGTGATGAACCCAGCATGAAAACCCATGTAGGGTGTTGGTGTTTAGATAGGGGCCAAAGTCAAAAATGTGCCCCCTCAGTTCTCTGGACAGTCTGTCTGTATCCCAGAATTGGTTAAAGGTTTTCAGCCTTAGTGTGTTTGGTACTTAAAAAATCTTTTTATACAATATTTCACATCAGGTAGTTCCACAGTTTTCACCAATGCAGCCATAGTTTTCTACAGTTGATGACCTGGCACCATCTTCATTCAAGCGACTGGGAGTTAAGTGCTTTTCTTCACGCCATCTGACCAGTTGAGGCACAGGAGCGCTCACATTAGCACAACCACTTCTTTCCAAGACAGTCAAAGATTGAAACTAGCAACCTGCTACATGCATGGAAACTTTTTCGACCTTTAGGGCCATGATGCTGGTTTGAAAAAACTTCGGTGTTACGTACCCTCTTCCTCAAAAATGTCTGAAACGTCACAAGTTAAACACAATAAAAAAGTTGAAAGTTGAAGTTGAAGTATGATTATGATTATAAACTGCAGAATATTTTATCGTAAAGCAACAGTCAAGCACACACATGAAACATAAAAATAAAGAGGTTCTCCAACTAATGATTATTTTTCACTATTGATTAATCTGCAGGTTATCTTCTTGATTGATCATTTTATCATTTGGTCTGTAAAAATGTCGATAAATTGATAATCTTTGTCATAATTTCCTCAAGACCCAAGTGAAGTAAATTGCTTGTTTTGTCTGATCAATAGTCCAAAAATATGTTCAGTTTTCTGTCATATAAGACAAAAGAAGCAACGAATCCTCACAGTAAAGAAGCTGGAACCACCAAATGATGATACCTTTGCTTGAAAAGTAAAGCTGGCCGCTGGTCTACTGACAGAATAAGTGACATTTAACATGATACACCACAACAGCAGGGAAGACCACAAAACCCAAATTCACCGCTCAAAGAAAAAGTGAAAAACCACAAAACATTTAGATAAGTAAAGGGAGAGAAAAAAAACTGTCACTCAAATGTAGAAGGAAAAAACCTCTTGTTACCAAAAGCCACTGTTTTCAGACAGACAATAATAACACAATATCACATCTACCAGGCTCAGTGCGTAAAGGGTGATAATGTGCAGCTTTAAATTTCCCACACAGGGCGCTCTTCTTCCACATGCGTATATTTAGCCCACAATAACAAAGGCAGAGTGCTTTAAAAGGCTGCTGATGGTTATTAAAGCTACTGCTGTTTACATTGTTCGCATCTCAACGCAGGGTGAATTTGTTATCGCAGAGTGGTCGCTGTTATTCAGAGGAAAACTTTTAGTCGGACATGGTTCTGAATGCAGGAGGAAAAAGGAACCAGTCTCTACTGTGTCATTTGGCTTGAACACATGACGGTGTAGGCTGAGAAAAACTACAGGAGAATGTCTCACAGTCACAATTTAAATGGCACAAGCTTCATATCGATTATTCAGTTTGATTAAGCGCCAACAACTGCTTTTGAAAAGAAAAAAAAAACACACGCTGGTCACATATAGACATGTCGCCATTCATCCAGATGTTGGTTTTACCTGTTGCAAGGCGACTTTCACTTTAACGTCCAGCCTCATCCAACGCGTATTGAGAGAGATCGAAAACGCAACATGAGTTAGACGCACAATAGATGACCAACAATCTGTCACTGACTCCTTGAGGCACATGGTCGTGACATCTGGACTTGGCGCTCACTGCAGGGGCAGCGAACATGCCATTCTTTCTGTATTGATCACTCCCCAATAGGAAACAAAGCCATATGCCTCACTATAGTGTGCCATGGGATCATATAGCATATAAATATCCATAATATGTGTTTTCATTCTTTTTTCCCCTGGGCTCCATGTGTGGTTTAAAAGAAATCATACTAGTTCCATTGTTATAAATTATTATTTTACAAGCCTCAACCTTTCAATTAAATCAGTTAAATAGCCTACAAATATCACGTCAAACAAAGCTGCGTCATATCTGTAAGCAAAGCATGTGTATTTATCCTGAATGGAGAAATAGACCAGATTTGTTCAGTCTTACCAAAGGCTCTCGTCACGAAGCTTTCAGGTTAATTCCTCTGGTGAGTGGGGATAATTTGGTGATCAGTGTCTCTCTCTCCTTTCCTGTTTTCTTTTTCTCAGTGGTCGATACAGTGTCTATCTGCATTTGTTGCTATTTACGCACATTACGGACCGTCGCTCTCCCCAAGTCAGCACCTACAAACACGCGCTTTGAGAAATGGTCGGCATTGTAAAAGACTCCTGAGCTCAACTGTGGGGGTCGCACTGGGTCCGCCTCTTTTACCCCCACCCCCACCCCCCCCCCCCTAACATCCCCTCCAATAAGCTGTGCTGCTGGTTCTCAGCACTTGGTCTCGTAGTAGGTGTGGGAAAAGCAGAGATAGTGATCGTCACACTGCTCTAGTCTTTGGTACGAACGAACTGCGCATAAATGGCACCACACAGTCAGTCTGGCAACGCACGACTCTGACAGAATGTACGCCGCAAATCAAACAGCTGTCATTAACATTATCATGGGGGTCACACTTTTCTGGACTCGGTTGTGGGCATTTCAATTGACATTTAAGGATATCAAATATAGACATTCCATATACATACGTAATATTATTTGTACACATACATATACAAATAATACAGAGACAAATACTGTACAATAAATAAATGTACTTATTGATTTTAACTTTATAGCTGTACAGCAAGCTGAAACATTTTCTTTCTTTCTTTCTTTCTGTTGAAAAAAATGTATACATTGACTGAGACTGAGATATTACTAGTAGGAAATGTCTATAGTCATGTTGACATCAGAATAGAATAGAGCAGATTTCTTTGTCATTATAGTAGTGTGGAAAGTTGTCTTTAGCTCATCAAACATACAAATACACTACATAATATAAATACAATTAAACTGTAAAACATTAAAATCTAAAATAAAACACTGTGGAGGTTTGCAACTCAGAACAGATCAGTATGATATTTAAACCCACATCATACTGAAGATCCGTTCAAATCTGCGCTGAGAACAGACACATTCAGGTTTACAATAGAGTTGTACCTTAAAGATCATAGTACCAGAGGATTGTTTAAATTCATTAGTGTATTGCAGCCTAGCGGCCTCTAGAGGCCGCTGACATAATGAAGTTTGACCATGCTCAGAATAGTTCAATAGTTCAGAAGGAGCTTATTGCTTCTAGTTGTTGCAACTCAAAACCAAAAGTTCACTTCACTCTTCACTCTAAAGGCAGAATCAATCAATTTAAAAACACCAACATCAACAAATAAACACACTTAATCCTGTGGTTAATGTGTGATATAGCATTTCTGATAGCAGCGTTGCTAAATAGTGGTTATTTATAAGACCAGTGCAACTAGATAAACAGGGATATTAACATTTTTACATGGTGCATTACATGATTGAAAATAGACATTATGAAAGAGTATAAACAAACATTATACTGTAAAATGTATGTTTTATTTTATATTTATGTTATTTATCTAAAGTACAGTTTTTGACTATTGCTGCACAAGAATAAATTAATAAGCTCTAAATAGATCTTTTTAAACAATTTATTAAAAACTGAAAATGTGATAGCAAAAAGTAAATTCTAAATAGAAACTAAGTACTGCCTTTTTACATATTGGCCTATTAATTAAACCAACACATCCGCTGATTCTATGGATTAGTGGGAGAAGTGTCACCTCCACGTGACTCTGACCCTTTACTGTCATGACTGAGTTATTTAAGGAATCAATGCTAACTCTATGAGGAGAAATAGCAACATGGAACACAATGGCAGTTCATGAGAGCCGCAAACTTGGACTAACATACCAGTCACTGTTTCTTGTTCTACTGCCCAGCTGGGTTTTTAGGTGTGGTGTTTGGCAGCGTGTAACTACAAAGAACAGATACAGAGTGTTCACAGAACAAAAGAAAGACATGTAACCAAACTCTACTCTGCCGTTGGGTTTAGGATCCTTAAGAAAAACAAATTTTCCTGGTGCTGTCTGCTGGAATCAGGAGTGATATTTAACAATAATCTAAATTACATTTAGTGGAATCAAACTCTACTAAACAAAAATGAAGAACATGTTGCCCTGAACTTAATTCTGCCTGCCGCAAGCTTACTCAATGATGCTAAAGGCACCTTGGCTAAAATCTGCTTAAGCAATGAGCAGAACTTGATCAATTTACAGTTTATTTATTGAAAAGAATTACGTAAGCCCATTCATAGAGAGAGGGGCACTGCTCATCTTTCTGGTGCTGCAGATGGATGTTTGGCTTTTGTGATTTTTCCAAGAAAGCAGGATGGGAATGTAACAGCAGAGATTCCTTCTAAGACCACAGGAGTCAAGATGTATTGCTGCAATATATTTATGTAACAGAGGTGGATGTGAGGTTCAGAACATTTCTCCCTGAGAGGTGGAAATATCAAAAGGACAGGACTCCATGAGGTCCATGAAACAAACCCAAGGGATGTACTGTATTATGTTTCCATTGTGTAACACACTGTTTATATAAGGGGCCAGCACAGAGACAGGCAGACTGACCACCTCTTTGAATGAAGGAACAATATCATTTATAACATAATTTACTACACTTCTTAGTCTGACAACGGAAACATACAGTATCTACTAAATATCTGTCTCTGCTAACAAACAGAGAGTTTGAGCTGACGAGCTCTTCAAACAAAAGATACACAGGAGCAAAACAAACAGGTTATTTTTTACATTCGCATTTACACTGTGTTTAAAGATTGTCTCTTAATCATCTGGGTTCAAACTAAAAAATTGAATAATCACATTGTATTAAACATCAGTTACAGGGAAATATGGATTGAAAATGACAGGAAAGACAGGTTAAAGAGACATGCTCCTTTCTGCGTGTCAACTAGTTCTTTGGTGTGGTGTTTTATCTGAGCCAGAGAAACGCCCCATTGTGACAACACAGAATTTATTCATGCGCACATCCATATTAGTACATATGATACTTACCCCGGTCACGTGTGTAAATAAGCAGAAAGTCTCCAGTGGAGTGTTTATATTATTGTAGAAAGGCGCCTGAAAGGAACAGCCACAAGAGAAACCATCCTGAGCATTGCATGGTCTGTGACTAATATGATGCTCTATTCAGCCTATACCAGGTCTGGTCACAGTGCTGGAGTGATGTATTGCATATTTATTTGAAATAGACCTATCAATATGTCATATCCTGTCAATATTTTTAACATAAAGAAATACAAATTGATATTCAAAATTCAATTTAATGCTTAATGTTTCAAATGTTAGTATAATAGTATTTTAAATAAAGGAACTTGAAAATTAGACATTTTCCCTGGCATATCACAGAATACCACTGCCTGTCATTGTTAAATAAAACAATGCAGTAAGACACATACGGCATTTCCTGTGCCTCTGAAACAGACCTCCACACCTTATCTCACACTCTCACTATGTATTAAGACAGGACAGTTATTTTTTTTAAATTCTGGTTACAGTCCACTACACTGCTAAGAAAACCCACCTCAGGCGTATTACATGGCACCATGTCTTTCTTTGAAACAGTGAAAGCTCCAACAAGAGGAAAGCCCATCAGGTAGGAAAGAGACTGGAACAGGCCAGGCCAAATACAAGATGGGTCATGAACAGCTGGATCTAAATCGTATGTGGTAAAACCTGCGGACACTCTCACTCCATTTATATATAATGACTTGTCTCACTGACGAAACATATTTTTGGTGTCACCTTCTCAGAAAGATAAGGCTGCAAAGTCAACAACCGAACTGGAGCTGGGAATCATTTGGTGTCTTGTTGAAGGACACCTCAGCAGGGTGGATGCCAGTCAGCACATGGCTTTTACTCTGGGTCCTCTAGTGGATGGACAATCTCACTACAACACCCTAAAACTACCACTAAATAAGTTGTACAGAAGACATGCATGCAGACATGCACCTTTTCCATGATGAAAGGTCCTAAAAACTGCATGCTGACCACAGTGAGTTAGGCTTTCTTCATATAATGTATAGTATGTTCCTAAAATGCAGAAGGTTTCAGCTGTGAATATATGACGGCTGACGATGAGTCAGATAGAGGAGGAGACAAAGTAAGCAACATATTATAAATAATATGTATAAATAATAAAACTGAAGCAAAAACAATAGGGTTCTAGGGGTAAGAACCCTTTAGGAAGCCAAAAAAAACAAAAACACACACTCCCGCCTTTTGTGATTAATCGAACACCATCAGTAATCTCTTATGTAATTTATTTCATGTACAAACAAAAGAATTTGTATAAACTGTACAATCTTTTTAACATGCTGTGACAAAAAAAGGCATTACGACAGAAGAAATACAAAAGAAATCTGTAACCTAGGGAAGTAAATTTACTGTGCATATGTACAACTCATAAATTATGTCATTCACTCTCTTGATATGCCTCCATTACAAATTATTTCTATGGTCTGGTTTATGGCAAGAGGCATAGATCATATATGGAGTGAAATCATTGAAGAAAGACCTATCTTTTGCTTCCATGCCAATTCTTCCATCCTTATTTACGCAGAAACCTTGGAGCAAATCATCTGCAGGCCATGATGATCAATCATTTGAGCTTGAGACTAATGTCTCATTCCAATTCAGTGAAACGAGCAAACATGGCTTTGCGGACTGCGTCTTTGTACGTGTCTGAAGCAGAGAGGGTGTAGTTGGTGCCTTTAGTGCCAAGTCCAGCTCCTTTTGTTCTCATCTGTGCCTGAGGAGAAGAACCACAAACTTCAGATCTTTTTAAAAGAGGTATACAGTTATTGATGCTGATGGATACTGGATACACACTGACACCACGAGATAATTACTGTGGATACCTCAATGGGTGTGGTGATGCCCTGTTGGTTGCGACCAAGTCCTTTCCCCTCCTTCCAGCCCATGGCCTGCAGCATTTTGTTCCCAATATTGTCACTGTTAAGGCCGTCCTTAGTGGGCTGCTCATAGTTACTGCAAAGGAAAAAGGGAAATATTTACACACCCCTGCCCTACAAGGACTGGAAAACAGCATGTTCCACAGTACCTTAAGTAAAACAAAGTCGCTTACATGACTGGTGCTGGTTGGCTAAATTTCTTCTTTTTGGGCGCTGGGGGTTCAGGGATGCCATATTTTTCTCTCCTCTCAGCTGCTCTGTCTCTATATTTCATCTATTCACCAGAAGAATCAAAACATTTTGAATTTTCAAATGCAGTCACTCTGAAAGAGGAACAACATGACACACTAACAGCTGGGTGATTCTGTATTGAGCCCAACCTCAGTCTCTTTCCTCTCCAACTCTTCCAGCTCTGCTTCCGTCATTTGGGATCTGCGTAGAACCTCCAGGTTTTTCTAGGAAGGATCAGTGAATAGATGAATACCTCAATGAATGGGGGCTCACACTTTTCCTGCTGATACTTTGGACTTCCCTTATTTAGGTCTGAAGACAATATATGTGTGATGTTACCTTGTGGAGGTCAGAGAGTTGCTGATGTCGAATAAGACTCTCTTTATTGGGAAACTGTCTCCTACACAACAAGCAGGCCAACTTTTTCCAGTCTGTCAGCTTGTCCTGGCCTCCGTCACTTCCATCAACCTCTGCTAGCCCCTCCTCAGGGTCACTGTCTCCACTGTAGGCTGCCACAAGGCCACACTAACCACACCGTGGATAAACAAAGGCAAGTGTAAATATTGTTACCATAAATACCACCTGAATATAACTGAGCACATATATTTCCAATTTACCTAAAATAACATTGACAATAATTGTTATAACCCTCCAAGATATAGTTCAGCATCCAAAAAACACTCACCTTTGAAGTGTTGACAGAGCTGGTTGGTGGCTCCTCCTCAGGGGCCCTTGGCATCTCTGGCATTAGTCTGTCTAGAGCTCCTGCCTGCTAGAATAAATAAATAATAAAAAAAATACATCAATCCATCCATTTAGCACATTTAGATCTAAGGTATATACATGTAGTATCTGAACTTTTTCAGATATTAAATCCCACTGGATTACCTTCTTTTCAAACAGTGTGAAGCCAGCATCAGCAGCTGCTGCCTCCTTCCTCTCTTCTTGACTAATAGGCTGAAAGCTACTCTTAAAGTTCTCTTTCTGCTTGTTGAGACTTTTAGCCCACCGTTCCATGTCTTTAGCAATCTGAAAGTATCAAATATATTTGAACATGAACTTAAAACCTAAAAATAAAACTCAAATATGAAACATTTTCAAAAAGGCTACATGAAAGCAGAAGTAGAATGTGCATAACAGACAATAAGTGCTGAAATAGGTTTTATGATAATACCTGCTGAGCAGTCTTGCTTTTGGGCTTTTCCTTTTTCTCCTTGCCTTCTTTTGGTTCTTTGCCTGCGTTATCATTTTGTCCAGCATTTGCGTCAGTTGAGGCAGGTACATATGTCTGCTTCTCACTGTCCCAGTACAGATACTGCTGGGTCTGAGAGTTGTAGTAATACTGAAAGGACATAAACAACAATGTTCATAATCAAAACAATATAAACTCCTGTGACTGTCATCAACATGACAGGAAGCCAGGTGGCTGTGCACTACTCACATGTGTGTTTGGGTCATAGTAGAGGCCAGTTTGAGGATCATAATAGTAGCCAGAGGACTCATCATACTGATAGGTGGATGTATCAGGAACAGCTGTCAATAGTAAAGCATTACATCATTATCAAAGGCCGTAGAAAACTTCTTTGGTGGATTATAAAATATAGTTTTAACTAAAAATACCAATTAGTTATTGATATCATTGCATTATTCATAAATAAGTGAGGGTTCCCAGCCTTAATCTCAACTAAGCTTCCCCTCTGACACCAGTTTACAAGCAGGCACCTTTTGCCCTCATGAGCTTTAAGCAGCTCACCTTCAGCAGTAATTAAAGTATTAAAGGACTAGTACAGACTGACTTATTTGTAAATTTAGTGTTTAACAGCATATCACTCTTAAATTACAGAACCAAACTGTTAAAACTCGCTGTTTGAAGCTGTACCCAGGGAAACACTTCAGTACAATGTACATGACAATGACCTCGGGAGGATTATGCACATCACACTACAACAGAAAAAGGTTTTAAGGGATCCTGTGTGCTCATACCATTGCTGTTGTCAGCTGTCTGTCCAGAGGCTATTAATGTACTGGCAGCGGTAACAGTGGCAGCAACTACAGGGGCAACAGGCACAGACGAAGCCTCAATGCCAGGGAGATGTCCTGTCTGGGGTTTTGCCTCCAGTTGCTGAGCAAGTGGCAATGCCTAGAATCAACGTAATTGTTATTTTGAGACTGTTACACAATGCATTTTAACAATGGTACTATAGTGTAATTACAGAGTTAAAGAAAACGTGTGTTACCTGAACAGCAGGCTGAGCAATTATATGGGGTTGGTAGACTTGTGCACTCTGTGAGATTACTACTCCAGCTGCAGATGGAACAATCTTTACACCTGGGGCAGCTAAAATTGAAAATGCAAAGCTTTGTGAGCATTTTTTCCAATGCTCAACAGCAGTGTGCAAACAGAATCAAATTAATACAGTGGGAGATCTTTATGTGTTGAAAAAAAAAAAAATTTTATTTTTCCAATATCAATATTCCAATACTAATATGAAATGGTCAATAACTGTGCCAACATCTGTAAAGTGTGAAAGCATCTCTTACCTCCTAGAATTCCATTTCCCTGCGAGGTGCTGGCTCCTGCTCCTTGCTGGTAGTAAGTCTGGTACTCCTATTGAAAAAGTAATTAATTGAAATGCAAAGATTAATTTTTGAGCTACAGAAGTGTGAAACAACCTCATTTAAATTCGTACATAATGGAGATGCAGATAATTGTTGCTCGATTTTCTAAAGATTTCTATGAAATACACGTACAACCTCATGTCTCATCTTTTAGGTGTCGTCATCAGTGATATAATGGCCATATTTTATTACAATTTATATTATTAATAATAATGGTACAATTTTTTTTTTCTTCTACTAACCTGTGACATTGGAGTATAGCCTTCTTGCAAGTAGCTGTACTCCGACATTCCCTCTGAGCTCTGTTGTGGCAAAAAAAAAGTGTGAATTATGATTATGCGACATTGACATATCATTGGGAGATGATAAATTATGTCATGTTGAGAGTACGTGGGCCTACCTGACTTGAAGACCACTGAGCTGCAGCGATGGCTGTGCTGGCCACAGAGAAGGCACTGACACGATTCCCGTCTGGTAGTAAAAGGTCCCTAAAACAGGCAAATGTCGAAAAGTCTAATTTGTGTATGGCTGAATCCCCCCTATCTTTGTTGAGGAAAACCAGAGGCAACTTGGAGGAAGAACTCAAGATGTGCTTAAGAAACTTAAAATGAAAGAATACAGTTGGTGGCTTTTCATCTATCACAAAAAACCAGGGCACACATTACACTATGTTGTTGTTATACTCACTTTCTAGCACTCTTAGCATAATCCACCCCAATTGTTTTTCCATCCAGTTTTAGAGGAGGCTGTAGTCCCTGTAAGATGGTTAGCAGCTGAGAGGCCTCCTGTGAAAAGAATTGATATTAAATTATAAGTGAAATGCAGACATCAGTGAGATGGTGAATTCACCCATTTTAGAGACTAAGGAATGATATTAGTAGAAAAGCCAAATGGAATCCACTGATAAGTGGTTGGTTGTTCCAGCAGTAAATTATGATGCTTCTTAACAGTATATTGTGACAATATTTAAATGTAGATATTAAAGAATACTTTACCAGAGGAGAGGACAGCTGTACAAAGGCAAAGCCTCTGTTCTGGCCTGTCTGCTTGTCCTTGATGAGGCGAATGTTGTTCGATGAAAGATTAGCGTATGGAGCCAGGGCTGTCATGATGGCTTCAACGGTGGTCAGGGGAGCAATATTTCTCAGAATGATTGCTGTTCAGAACAAAAATCTATATTTTAGAGCAGCCTATCATGGATTGGATATTTCTCATTCCAAAATGTAATATTATAGCTGTAAGATAGAAGTCCTTACTGTCGCCATAGAAGTCTCCACTGGGTTGAGTTTCAGAGACTCCAGTATTACTGTTGGTTTCACTTTCTGTTGAGAGAATGACAGAAGTAAGAGGTGCATTAACATAACCTTCAGAACAGTGTAATCAGAGAACTGGAAGGTATAAAGTGATAAGTGTCAAAAACCTGCACTAAAAATTAGTATGTTTACAACATCAGATAGGCTCTCTCATAAACTCTATTGTGTATTGTGTTTTGTCTCCATTTTGTGTTATTGTCAGGTGGGAAGGGAAAAATGCATGCTGTTTCTCCATCTATGCACTTTGCTTACATCTGACAGAGTGACAACAATTACTATCATTTGTTTTACTCGGCCTCTACAACTCCGAAAACACAAACTTTGCGTTGCATCCCAGGACTGCTGCCTCAGGCAGCCCGGATGTCTGCTGTCAGTGGCCTTTTGTTGATTTAACTACTTACCAGCTTTGGCTGCTCCACACCTGAAGCACTTCAGCCTCCTCCGGAAATTGTACAGGCCACACTGCAAGTAACCGTTCACATCATTTTTATTATACACCTACTAAAGCCCTTAACAGTGCTGCCTCAGAGAACAGGCAGTCTATATTGGTGCAGCATACCATACTTACCCGAGACACAATCTAACCTTTACCTCTTATCCAAATGTAGGTGTACCAAAAAATTAGCTGACAGGACTGCAACAATTATAATTTAAAGACCTAACTTGTGTGTGTGTGTGTATGTGTGTGTGTGTGTGTGTGCAATGATCTGCAGTAGCATTGTTTGCATAATGTGACTGTGAAACCCAAGACAGATCATTAACTTACAGTGTTGCAGAGCCAGTCTTCATACTTGTTTCTGGGATGACTGTAGTGCATGTCCACGCTTTTGCCTTGGATGGTCAGACGTTTCTGAAAGAGGAGGATAAAGATCACTCAAGTGTTCATGGTGAGCATTTATCTCATCAACAGAGCAAGCAGTGTTGGAAGGGAGAGAAGGGGAAGAGGGACCCCCCAACAGATAGCCTTTGTGTTAAAGACAGGCACATGATGTATATGTGAGCATGATGTATAGAGGGTTCTTTAGGTGTTTGGGACCCGCGTGCCCAGACTGAGCTGGAGCAGAGTGTACAATGTGACCCTAACAGACATTTTTGACTGTTTTAAAGACATGTATTGGCTTCCAACAAAAATGTTAAGAGAAGGGTGACTTTCTAAAAAAAAAAAAAAAATCTTCTTCTAATCAGGGGTGGGCTTAGAAAAAGAATAGTCTGAGGTTACACTCAACTCTCAAATATCATTGATAATGCCTCTATCACTCTATCAGTAAGGCAATGATAATGTGTTCATTATCTTAAATGCAGATTCATTAAGGAGCTGACAATTGACTCAAAATATGTCTCAAACCTGCAGCTTTAAAAGGTACTACTTTAACAGTAAATTAAACAAAATACTTGTTAACACATAAACCATGAATATAATCATATCTATTAATCTATAAGGAATCGTTTTGCTCTGTAATAAACAATCCATGGTTTTTTTTCAAGATCTGTACAGTTTACACACTACTTATTCAATGCACTTTGGTTGCCTTTTGGGTTATTTTTCCAGATCCCCAAGATTAAAACTAGACTTGGCGATTGTGAAGCAACCTGATTGGTCTCCATCCATCGGGTAGCATCTTGCAAGTGATAAAAGTCCACGAAGGCGAAACCACGGCTTATACCTAGAGACAGCATTCAAATATAGACGGGAGGCGTGTTAGTTAAGAGTCCATGGGCATATTATTCAAACTCTTCCACAAACTGCTTCACGACCCAGGCCCTTTTTGGTACAAAATGGGCCACACTCCTTAGGGGTTTTACCATAGCAAGAAATCCTGCTGAATATCACTGTTTGAACCACACTCAACAACAAAGTGTGTGTCTGCCAATTGACTTTCTTAAAAGACTAATATTGCTGCTGTTACTTACCTTAAAAAGATCCTTAATGAACTGAAATGAGAAGTCTTAAATCAACATTTCAAACCCCTCCCTAGTAACAATTCTCTTCTAGCTGCTATGGGAAAATGGGTCTGAATGGAAGCAGATTGGCCCTATGGTCAAACACTGGGGGAAAGGTTGGGGTCCGCCTTATAGCTGGTTCTCACCTGTTTTCTTTTTCATCAGCCTGACATCCACTGGCTGGGGTCCCTCCAGTTGGTCTATGGCAAAACGAATCTAAATAACAACATAGAGACGATACTTTGACGTTATTATTCTAAACCTCCCCCATTTTAAAAGGCATTTCATCTTACAGAGTCTGTTGGTCACACACACATAAAAACCAAACTAGGCAACAAAAAAAAAAAAATCATATCTTAAGGAGAAAACTAAAGACTTACATCATCCTCAGTGACATGAGGAGACAGACCCCAGAGCATGATGGTCTTACTCTTCTTCTCCTCCCCAGGCTCCCTTCTATAATCCTGCTCTGGGTAGTCACCATCAGAGTGATAACCATCTTCTGATCGATCACTGTTGCGTCGTTTCCTTTCTCTGTACTTTAAAACAAATATATCAACACATCAGTTAAGTATCAATGTCAACAAACAAGAAAGCATTTTACTAAGACATCATAATACCATTGAAAGTCAATGAATATCAAAACAACTACCTCTGGACTGTCTCTGGATCCTCGGCGATCTCCTCCTTCATAGCGATCACTACGTCTATCTTCCCCCCAGCGACGCATGTTGTGATCTCGCTCTTGATCCCTGTCTCTTCTGTCGCGCCATTCTGATTCATCGCGGGACTGTTCAGAGCCATATCTACCACTCCGTTCTGTCCGACTAATCCTATTTAGGAACACATTGAAAGGAAAGGTAAAACATCGGCATAACATGACTATTCCTTATAGTATGATGCAAGCAAATACTATTGAAGCAGCAAGTTGAATTACAAAATTTCTTGATTAACAATATAACAAAAATTAGCCTGATATCTTCCTCCTGTTGTAGAGGTATATGCAGATTACAAGGGCATTCTGATCATTTACATCTGTATAAGTTTAACACTTAAAGATGTCTTAAGTAGTGCACTACTTACAAAATATTTCCAGAAAAAGAACACCTCCATAGATAAGATCAGGAATCAAGGCTTTTCCAGTCAGCCTTAATTTCTCAATCAATGCGGTGTGGGCAGTAGTCACTAAATTGGCCAGCGCTTATGGTCTAATTTCAGGAGTTAGGTACATAAAAGACCTCTGACATGCAACCTTCTCTCAAAGTGGAGAGTGTTATGCCTAGCTCTCCTTAACAAGATACAGTACTTCTGAGATTAAATTAGTAACATTTATTTCAGGCTGATGGATTAAAATCTTTTTTTCTCAGTTGAGACAGTTTACTTTACGTAAAAGTGCCATCATTAAGGCTAAGTTTGTTGTCTGTAAAAATCCCTTTCCTATAGTATTTTGCATAGTGGGCATTTTTCACATATCCAATTGTTGATTTAAGTGAGGCTGGCTTCAGAAATACACAGGTTATCTGGACCTGAAATGAAGGTTTTGTTTAAGTTTCAAATGTTTTGAATGCAATAATCTATTACTCCTTTTGAGGATATGACAATAACTTAAACTAGGACCAAAATAACACTGTCACTATGCTTAGCCACACCTACCATGGCGAACTTCGCTAGCGCTGAACGCTGTAACTCACCTTTTATCAGCTCCCATTTTTCACTGTCTTCGCACTCACACGACCTCTACAAAGCAAAAATGTCGAGAATTTCAAGTTATGCAATCATTCTGTCGTAATTGTAGTTATTAACAATCCCAAACAGAGAGCAGTTCACCTTTTAGTCGCATTATACAGATTACAGTGAGCAAAATGTTTGTAACGTATAATATGGAGCCGGTCTAACGTTAGCAAACAGACATGACTTATGCCAAAAACAATGACGCAAATGAGAAGCTATTAGATGTTTCGGTTTCCAATCTGAATATGCAGTAACTCACCAGTGTCGTTTGTTAACAATGTTGTTGCGCACTATTAGTTTTTCAAAATTATATTTGTAGAATTGTGAGCAGGAAAATTCATCTCACGTTCAAGGACTTTCCACAACACTACGACAGTGCCTTCTTTGTCCCAAGATGCATTGGTGTATAACCCGGTGCATTCTGGGTTATAACAAAATTTCACCCCGAATTTGCCTCACAGGCAGAACCGAGTCCTGGGCTTTGTTTGGTCTGACAATCGGTTATTATTATGTTGACATTACATATAGATAAAGCACAAATTGTTACAGCTGTCTGTCTGCCAATGCTTGAGACGAACCCGTACTAACCGAACATACACAGACGTGTAGAACATGGTGTAGTGGTTGAAATGCTGCCTGAAAGCCCATACAGAGGGCAAAAGTAATAACATATTATATTTCCGCCATTTTACTGGGTATCGCTTTTTTTTTAGCTTGCCATTCTTGCAGTATATGGAAGTCGTTTGCAATCATTGCAATATTTTGATACTAATCCAGAAATAATTGGTAATAAATTGTTCATTCGACACATTTAAATAGGTTGCTGTTTGTTGCCAGACTGATACTGACTTATAGTTATGCTGATTTTTACAAAATAAAATTATAAAATTATTATAGAAGTTTAACAGTATATTACCCTGACTTGTGCATTAGACTGCCATTCAAGTTCATATGAATGGAATACTTTAATACACTGATTGATCTGGAGGTCTGACTCAGCGGAGTCTTTTAAATAATTTGCAGTCCAAGAAAAATGAAACATAAGGATTTAAGCCTAGTGTCTTTGTAACACAAGTGTCTGCTTATCGTGTCCGTGGTGCAAGATGGGCGCATATTCACATGGACTAAAGGATTGTGAAGATTCCACAATACAAATATAATTCCCTTACTTCTACCGTATTATTCATACTGTAATAAATACGGTATTACAGTGTAAGATAAAGTGCAAGAACATGTAGACATCTGATCTGAACATCTGATCTCTTGCTTGTATATAATAAGGTACTAAACATGTTACTGTTCACTTATCATTGGTTAACTGTGTGTCTATAGCTGTATCTTCCTAAGCTTCTGCTTTGTTGAGTGTATTAAGAGCCACTGAAAACTAGACCCAGTTTCCTTGTGTGTGTCAACATTTCTTGTCAATTAAGTTAAACTACAACATGAAACAAAGTCATTGTTTATTATTTATTACAGTATTTAAATCCGGAAACATCACCAAACAGTTCACTGTACAAGCAGGTCCTTAATAAAGATGACTACACAATTGTTCAACATGGCACACAAGAATGTTCCCCTTTCATAAATCTCTGATGTGGTAATGATACTGTATACAACACAGATGGTCAATAAATTGTGCTGATACCTGATCCATAATTTAGCTCCAACACATTTTTGAAACCAATACTTATGGAGCTCATTTTTATTTTGTCAAATTGATGATGCTTGAATCACTGATGCCCATAACAGAGCCATATCTTCTATACAAATGCATCATGAGATAAAATAACACAAAACTTAGCCATTTAATATAAAAATGGTCCACATGGCCCCAAAAAAGTAGGGTGCAATCCATCACACTTATTCCAAGGATTCAGGGTGGGGGGATGGGCAAGTAGCTCTAGGATTCTGTGAATTTCAATGATGAATTCTAGGTCAAGGTCTCTCCTTTTGTCACCTGTAATGAGATACGAATTTATATGATGGTTATATTACTTTGAAATATACAAATAAAGAAGCAATCGGTTTGTTTAATTACAATGCAGCATACTTACTCTCGCCTCAATATATTCAATCCTCCTCTCCAACGCTGTCAGCTTCTCATTGAGAGTGGCCAACCGGGATCGACACGACATGTCTGTTGGTAATAAGTTGCATGTAGCAACAGTTATGACATTTTAGTCTATATGGTGCAATTTGTCCATGCTGAAGAACATGAAAACATGTCAGTGGTGATGCAGCTGCTGGTGTTACATGAATGACAGCAGTACAGACTAGCGTTAGCAGTGGCTAAGACACTGGCATTAGCTGTTTCAATACTCGAATCTATCAGTGTTTTGATTACATGTTTTGACATTTGTTATACGGCTAACATCAGTTTACGAGCAAAACAAAAATGTGCGCCAACCATACACCAAACTGTCAAGGTAGTTGTACGAGGAAACAATAACAAGACCGCAGCTAACGATAGAGCTAATTGCTAACTGGGAGTGGCCACTGAAAACATCAACACCAGTGCTAGCAACAGCAGGATAGCTAGCTCAAGTAGCTAGCCATTTATACAAAACATCCACATTAGTGGTGATCTTATCAGTAAATTTGTTTTTTCAAAGCTTACCGAATGAGTTAAGAAAGTCGGCGATTTTTTTGATACTGCTCGTAATTACTTCTATATACTCTCGATTTGCCCAATCTTGGTGGATCTCTCTTTGCACTGGATCTTCCTGGCCAGCCATGTTGGACGAGTCGCAGTCTGGCGTAGCGTTAAATCAAGGATAGCTCTCTGCGTTCATCCAGGAAGTATGGCGTACATTGAGCAAATGTTCCTGTTTTATCTATAGTTAGCCATCGGTAATAGTTGAGACAAATTACAAACTATTTTTAAGTAAGAATACATTAAATGTATTACGACTACTAACTACTATTCCATGCAATATAACGTTTAAGTAATGTTACATGTATGACGTTAGTTTGCGTTAAATATCAATTTAAGGTAAACTAAGACAAACAAAATCATCATGGGCAGCCAGCAAAATTTAATTTAATTTTAACATAAGAGCTTTAAATTGGTAGTAACTTAGTCAGTCACATACAGTAGGGTCCAAAAGTACAATTTCACAAGTGGTGTCAGTTTTTTGGTCCACACTATACATAACGCCGACGATTAAATTATTATTTTGCATCTCTGCATTTACGTTAAACACTCACTACATCTAGTATAAATTTCTAAAATCAAACAGGTCAAATCATTTCTCTCAACGACGGCCCTAGCAACGCTCCAAGTTAGCAAAGATGTTTGAAGTTTTAGATTTTGTTCACAAACACACGCAAACACTTTGCATATGTCAAATAAAAGCCAAACAGATTTCCAGATAGACTGTTTTAAGGGATGTTTTTGTATGCATTGAACAGAAATCACTGCACTTTCTTTGACATAAAATGTTTAATTCTTCTCTTGTGATATGAGTCATACACAGTGGCTGAGTAAGTCTTTTACATGTTCATCAGAAACTCCCCTCACAAAAAGGCTTTAAGGAATGTCTTCATTCAGTAAACAGGCTGAACAACCATAGTGTACTTCAATATCACAACGCCTACTTAGTAGTGCTCTAGCTAATTTGAACTGTGAAAGTGGAAAACTCGATAAAACCCAAAACAGATGTGTGTCACTGATTACTCTTTTTAGCCAGGCTGTACATAACTGATATTCTTTACAGCCACCCAGGGTGTGTCGTAGCACACTTTACTTGACTCTCTTGAGTAGCTCTTGAATGTCTGCCTCAATATCTTTGGTGAGGAAACTTCTGCTGTAGCGCTTGAAGGGCTCTCCATCAGGACTAACCAGGAACTTCTCAAAGTTCCAGGAGACATCATTCCTACACACTGGACTCCAAATGATGAACTTTGGATCAGTTATGAGAGCCATGGTATCATCACTGGGAAATGGCAGCTTTTCCTTCAAATAGACAAACAAGGGGTGTGCATCCTTTCCATTCACATCCACCTTCTCAAGGAGCTGGAACTTTGGTTCAAAACCATTCCCTGGACGGACATACTTCAGAGATCTTAGGATTTCATCATTCTTGCAGTTCTCCTGTTATACAAAAACAAATAAAGACAGAAACATTAAATACATTGTAGAGCAGATGAACACTCTGCCATCAAGATTATTAAAAGCTACTGCAGGTTTTCATTTAAATATATTAAAATATATTTTCATTTAATGTTACTGCATACTTTACTACATTTGAGATGAAAATTTCTCCCTGTCTGACCCTGCAGTTACTATGTTTTGTTCATTCAGATTTTAAGATGCAAAACCTTTCAGTTATAAAATGTGAGGCTATAGAGGTTATAGCATACACTACCAAATAGTACTAAATAGTACTAAATAAAACGTTTAACACTTGCTCCAGCCATAGTAAATACAACAGTAAAATGCGTCTTTAAAATCAATACATTAGTGATGATGTAATGTAATGTAATATGGTTTGCCACTCTGCTGTTTATTAGCTGAATTTTAGTTAATTTTAGTTATAGTGTTCAAATCCAAAATTCTTGAGAGTAGTTACAAAAATATATGACCTTAATAGTGGCTATTGGTTTTTGCTCTATAGTCTGACGATTAAGAAGCACAAATAGTCAACATTTGAGCTGATTTGGAGTCCTATAGCTTATCTGATCATATTGTAAATATATAAGTAAAATGCTCACAGTATGTCAGCCATTTCTGGAATTACACATGGTTTACCTGATGACCAAATTGATTGCAGGGTACACCCAGAATTACGAGTCCCTCAGCGGAATAACGAGAGTGGAGGTCGTTCATTTGAGTGTAATCCCTGGTTGTTGTTCCTCAAAGAGACGCCACATTCTCAATGAGTACAACTTTCCCCTTCAGTGCAGCAAAGCTGAAGACTTCTCCAGACAGCAGTTTAGCTGTTAGATCATAAAACCTTTTCACATTCGCAGCCATACTCCTGAATTCCGGATGAATTGAACAAAGACGTTAGACCTCACGCGTCAGTTAATTTTTATTCAGGCGGTCCAATGTCAACAAGTCCAGCCTTCACCTTACTCACGGGGCGGGACACGAATGTAACACAACCCACAAAACCTAAATATGGCCCTACTATTTCAATAGTTCGTTGTATTTATTACTTTTTGTAATATCCATAAGATTCAGTCACAAATTTTTTTTCAGAGGTCACTATTGCAATTCTTGAACACTAACTCACAAAAAGCAATTTCACATTTAGGAAGTAACATTCTTACACATATGCACTGCACGGTTGTGTGATGAATATTAATTATTAGCCAAATATGGTAAATTAGTGTCTCACGCAAGACGTGTTTCTCATGACTTTGCACATTGAACTGTCTGACCTGTTGTTACGTTCACAGATTTTAACTGTCATTCAGAATAAGTTACAAACATTTGTGTCAATAATGTAGGTTACTCGAAATGCCAAAGTTGGCACGAACTTATCAAATGACCTATCCATGTATAACTTTACACTCATATACTACCCCGGAAGTGTTATGGACTGAATTAAAACAATGTGTTTCACATGGACATGCTTTGTTTCTACGAATTTGATATACTTAGTCCTAGTGAAATTCACCCCGTTGGTCGGCGAAAATGGTACCTTCCAGGAAGTCCTGAGCGGCGTGTAATCTTCAGTGCTTTATCGTTTAGTGAAATAAATCTAAACTCAGTTCGACTACACAGCCAGTGCTGGCTGAAAACAACATAACAGTCTTTTAAAAATGTTAAACTGCGTTGTGTGTTCAGAAGCAGTTGAATAACGGTACCAGCTCCGCCTGTTAGCAGCTATCATGCCAGACTGGGTCAGTCTGTGTGCGCTCATCAGCCTGTTGTTAAGTCTTTTAACAGTAGCTGCTTACATCTTGTACTCGGGACTCCTCTCAGACATTATTGTGCTAACCGGCTCTCCTCCCATGAAGAAGATTACTTTCGCCTACAAATTTAAAGAGGGACCGTACAAAAACTGTGGACAACTTTTTAAGGAGTCTCACAGTATTGGACCAAAGCTTTCATGCATCGGAGTGTATTATGATGACCCTAAAAAGGTAAACATCTATTACACAGCACTCTTTATAGAACAGCAGTTTATTTTTACCATGTTTCCCCGCACTTTTCTCAATTATTTAACTTAAAAATCGGACAGACTTTTTTTAACATAAACCAGTAGACCACTAGATGGCGACAATGCCATTCTCAAAAAACAAATCGAAATATGGATCCCAATTCACAGCAGGTAGTCCGAACTTGATGATCAGTTTAGTTCATGAGGACTTTACATTCTGTCTTTTTTTCTGTTTTACACAGCCTTTATACTTTTGGCACTGGCAGATGTTTGTGTTTTCCCCTAAGCATTATCACAACACATCTGGACAGGGTATTTTGTGGATTCAGATATCATAAAAAATGATCTAAGTGCATTTCGGACTTGTTTATTTTGGTCCTGAGATGTAGTTCCAAACCAGAGCATAAATTCAGGTATATTGGACTTTTTCATGAATAAAGATATATATTTCAAGAAATACGAAGCAAGTTGAATCAAACCAGTAAAGTATGGTTACCCACTAATGGCACTGATCATAATAAATCAACAAATTGTTAAAAAGTAGTATAAATTTGAATTCCATGACAGTGATCTTAATTTAGCAGTACATTATTGAAGTGATCCCAATTTGATTTCACAGTTTGAAATCAGACTCTGAATTCTGTTGTTAAACCACCAAGTTTTTGTATGCTAATTAATTTTGCCTCAGAGAGTCTCAGTCAGATTTGTGGTTTGTATGTGTGTTTAGTTATGGTGTATTTTGAATCATTGATCAATGAATCAAGCTTTCCAGGCTGGTAATGTTGGATTCACCCTCTGACACTAAGCTGATCAGCTTGTCTTTTTAGCTCAGGGTTTTTACAGCAGTATCCTGGTATGTGAAACTCTGAATTACCTTGGGATTGTTGTTGCTCTTAGGAGCGGAGCTATAAGTGTCACTGGGAAAAATGCCAGAATGAAATGAAATGAGGAATGCTGATTATGAAATAAAAATCAACTCCAGTAGTGGAAGTTATGATGAAACATATGTTATCATGTTGTTGGAGTTCCTTAAAGATCAACAGTCAGAATGTGGAAGCTTCCAGCACCTCTTTGAATTTGACTGCGTCTTTTGTGGTCTCCTTTACTGCCACACCAATGTTGCTAAAAACACAATTAGTTAGTTGGATATATCCGTGAGATGTTTTCCCACACTACTGACTGTACCCTGTTTGAACTCATCCATCCCCAAACCTTAGTGTCTATAAGCAGCAGGAAATAATATCTGCCGGATCTGTTTTCCTGATACCTAATCCTGCTCACTCAGTGGGGTTTCCAAAATCATGTGGTGTTGGTTCTCACATTTTAAAGTGAGTCTAGCGTGAGTCCTTTTTTCAATAGGCTCTGGATAAACATACCAAGAAGGAATGGAATGAGGAGTAGCACCTTGAAATGATTAAGCAGTTTGGAGGTTCAGGTAACTAGAGGGGAAAACAGAGGCCTGACAGATGTGGCCTTAAGAAACATGCATCTGCTATAGCATAAGCTGATAGTGACTGTTGATCACTGTATGTATCCTGCTGTCATAGCAAACTGATTACCTCAAGCTACACGGAACGTAAACACTTTCATGCACTACACAATGTAGAGTTTGGGCATATATAAAATTAGATACCATGTAATTATTGTAATATCATGGCAATAATGTAAGATAAAACTTTACTGAGTCTGAAGAAAGTTTTTGTGTCATATATGCTCACTATACTAAGTAATTGACTAAGTATGGAGGAATTAAAAAGAAATTAATTGAGCACTCAATTAATCCATCAAAAGAAAATCAATATACAACAATGTTGATATTTCATTAATCTATGCTTTTCTCTGTTTTATTTCATTGTAGACTGAATATTCTTCAGTTTTGGATTGTTGATCGGGAGACATGTTTTCTGAAGGTGTGATTGGGAACATGTGTTAGACCTTTTTTTTTACAATTTATAGTCATTTTATAGACTAAACGAATAATCAAATCAAATCAGTAGCATAATCGATCAATATCTGCAGTGCATGTCTACAGTATATAGAATACAGTTTTGAATTCGTAGCTTTTAATGGAGGAGTAAATGATCAGTCAGCATCTTGGTTGGGTATTATTAATGATTCTTTCTTCCCATGTTACAGTATATACCCTTATATTATTATGTTGCATTTGGAACTCCCAATAGTCAGAATTTATCAGTATTGAGTCACCTATACTGTGATAATACCTCTGTCTCAGAAGAACTGGTTTTCAATAGTATTGACTTAAGTGGCACTGCTTGAACCTGCCATAGCCTGATCCACAACAACCTGATGGAGTGTAACCAGAGTTCAGCGACAGACTCGTCCCAGCTTCGCATTAGAATCCTTTTGTTATGCTCATCCTCTTTTTCCCAAGCCGGCAATTAGTCTAACTGTGGGTCCTAGTTCCTCTGCACAGTCACAGCCAAGTCCTGATCTAAGTTAAAATAATTGGCGTAATGATCTCAGCTCATTAGCGTCCGAGCCTCAGGATGCCATTCAGTCCCCGCATCAGGAGCCCCAGAGTGCTCTCAGATAGGAGGACTGGTATTTTGTGGATAAATTGTGGGACACTGTCCATTGATATTTGCAGTGAGAAGGATTTTCAGAAGTGCAGCTGACAGAGGATAAGTGTCAGCATGGCTAGACTCATCCTCTGTTCTTGGTTTTCTCACTTTTACCTCCTTTAATCACTTCCTCTGGAGAAACAAAAGACCTCAACAAGGGCTCGAGTTGGTCCTGAGATGGTTGCCATGGATACATGGCAGGAGCAGCTCTGTCTGTTCCTTCAAACGGCCAACACAAATTTCTGAGCTCCACTCACTAAGCCCTCCACCAGCCTCTTCACAGTTTCAAAGCCAGGGGGGTTTTCTGACCTGGTGTGCCCACTTCACCTCTACCATGCAGCTCTCTTCTTCTCCGCTGGCCCTCTGCGTCCAACAAACGTCAGAGGGAGGTAAGGTGGGTAGATCATGTGGTTTTCTGTCAAACTTGATATTCGAAGTAAGCGATCGGGGTCAGGGTTTGTGGCCCTGGAGACAAGGATTGTCTAAATAAAAACCCAGATGACAAGTCGAATTGTGTTGAAATGACAAATGTGTCTGATTGTCTTCAGGGACCCATGTTTGGGTCACGATATGATGAAAGCAGAGGGCATAGCAGCTAGGGGAGGTACCAGTCAGGAAATACGATCACTCTGAATCTCACACAGTGAATGATGAAATAGTTGAAAAATTCGCTAATACTTGTCCTTTCAGAAAGTCGTAGAAAAACATTTAAAATGCGAGCCTTGCTGGATCTGTGTGTGGCTATAAAATACTTCATATGCTGTTGAAGGTAGTTTGCCTTTCTTGATGCTTTACCAAAGCTAGTTCAGATGATTTGCTACAAAGACAAGAAGAAGGGATTCCTCGAGTTAAATTTCTGAACTTTTTTGCTTCAGATGAGCTGTCAGCGTATTGAAGAAACATAAAAAAGACAGCACACTTGTGTATTGATGAGTGCAGAGAGGCAGAACAAAAATTGTGGACAGAGGCTTGTGCTTTTGGTGCTTGCTCTTTGTTCTGGACTCCCTGCTTGGAGTCCTGTGATGATTAATAAATCCACTTGGCTCAGACTTCCCACTGTGAGCCCCAAAAACATCCAAAGTGTTGAAAATATCCTCATGTGTAAAGTTTCCCGAATTTACTTGTAGTACTTAAAATAAGATCAGTCAAGCCCATTAACTAGATATCTTGAGTCCTCACTCTTCTTTTGACTCTAGTGACAAACACCATTATTGATTTGGAGTGGTGAGTAGATGTTTATTTCGGGGATAGAGGACTTTTGATGATGGGAGATCATCTCTCTTTCTCTGAGACCTTATTGAATCTACCCTTGATAATGTGCACTGAGCACCTAAAGTATTTTGGTACCATGCTAACTAGAGACTAGTTGCAACTCTCATCATCTAAATATCCTGTGCATAAATAGCAGATTTTTCACTTTTTTGTTTGTTTCAACAGTGGCAACATACGGGAGGGAGAAATGGATGTACTTGTTGTCTCATTTTGTCCAACCAACAGTTCAAAAAAAGGATATTGAGTTTACAGTGAAGTGAAACAAAGGAAAAATTGCAAATCCTCACATTGGAGAAGCCGCTGCCAGATAATTGTTGGCATTCATTGCTTACGAAATGGCTCAAACTATTTATCAGTGAACAAATGAGATGCTGATTAATCTCCTGTCGATCAATGAGTTGAGTATTAGAGTTACTGTTATCGCTCTACCCTGAGGATGAATCTGTGAAATGGTCACATGGTCAGGTAAAGATAGTGATTGCTCTGTAAAATCTGAAAAACTGATTCTGATAATCAGTGATTCACATTCAACAGTGTACCAGCCCAGATTTAAGTAGACTGGTGCACTATATTCATAATAATACTCAGAATAGGATCATCTGTTGTTCTTCTGCTGATACCAAACAAAGCTTAGGTCATACATTTATGCAGATATAACACTTCTTGCAGTGTGTGTGTGTGTGTGTGTGTTGGAAAAAAATCTGCTTAGTCTGCAGAGCTCAGTGAGCACCACACTTGTACCCATCACTGGCTTTGCGTGTTGAGGAACAGAGGAGAAAATGGGCATTCTTAGACACACTGGCTGTGCTTGAAGCGTAGCATTGATAGGTTTATGAACAAATTGGACCAGTCCAGCTTATTTATTCCATGAGCCTTCAGTGGTGCTCAGCTCAGCACAGTAGGGAGAAATTCTTGGATGTCCCAGGAGTATTCATTTGTAAAAAGTGTCTCCCTTTTCTTATTTTTTAATGGGCACCAGGGTGCTCAGAATTGAAGAAGGAGCAATAATTGCTGCACTGCCAAATGCTCCAATTAGAGCTCCTATTAATGAGCATATCTTCTCTTTAACTTTGGAACCTAGCTGACATCACAGAAGATATTATTTTTTTTCCTCCTAACGTCCCATTGTTTTATTTTAATGTGTGCTATCCACTGATTATGAAATATACCCACACCCTTATGTTTATGGCTCATCAGTCCTTAGAGACCGGTATTTAGAAATGTTGATGGCAGACGGCATTTCAGACAGTTTTCCCTTGTTTTTCAGAGTGATTGAGTGATTTATTGAGTAAAGATGATTTTGTACAATCAGTTCCTGCACTGGAACGCAATCAAACATTAAGGATTTTTTGGAAAATGGACAGATAATATTTTTTGCTTGAGAGCATTAATCTGTCAGTAGTGATGCTGTCTTATTAGAGGCCCTGTAATCACGGTAATGAGTAAAAGAGGAAAAGGTATGTGTGGGTATCTCTTCTATTCGATCAATCTATCTAAACTATCAGTCTATCTTGTTCATATATCCCATTTTATCTATCATTATTTAACAGTTCTTTTCATCCTAACTTTTGCTCCTAGGTGCCTGGACCACAGTGTCGCTATGCTGTCGGCAGTATTCTGAGCGAAGGCGAAAACAAGGCCGATGAGGAGCTTCTAAAGCGCTATGAGACATCTGGCTTTAATGTCTTCTCCTTTCCCGAAGTCACACATGTGGTCACTACCTCATTCCCCCACAGGACGTTTTTCTCTATTCTCCTGAGTGTGAGGAGAGTCTACCCACGGCTGGAGCTCTACATCAAGGTATTATGATTATTTTCTGCAGAACCTCTCTCAGTCACTTGACTTATTTTCATATCACAGTCAATACATACAATTTGTGAAATGTAAAGTTCTTTTAAGACTAATGATAACCCAAAAAAATCAATGTAACTAATAACTAATTTACTGTATATACAGTGTATACATATCATAGATTTGGCAGCGGGTTAGAGACAATGTACATGCATGTGCGCACTACACAGAACTATAACCCTTGTATGGACAGATGTTTGTGCAAGCCCAGGTGTGTGAAAAGTGACTTAATCCCTGTGTAAACTAAATGTAAGGGTAAAGGAAAACAGCATTAATCACTATGTATCACAGTGAAGCAAACATTATATTCACACAGCTAGCATCTTAAGCCCATCACATACATGTCCCATGGGCCCTCAGCGTTCCCACACAGTGTCTTGGCTGCGCACTGAGTCAGCACACAAAGCACCATTAAATCGCTTTCTGTGGGCTTCCACTTTTTCTATTTGGACTCCGGTACTGACCATTTGCAAAATATTTTATATTTTTCAAACATTATTTCTGAATGATATTCCATCTTGGAAATAGATCAGGTGGAATAAATAACTATTGTGAGCCACCGCCTGTATGCTTATTTTAGTGTTAGGAAAACTGGAAAGGAAATGTGCGAATTTATGTTTGTGTGTGTGTGATAGAATGAATCATTGCTGAGTCTGAGGTGGGACTACGTCAAACACTTGCAAGTAAATTATCAATATCTAACCTTGTGATCGTCACATGCACGTCTGAGTCATACTGTGTGTTTTCAGGCTTCACAGAGTTAAGATATGATTTGCGAAAAGCAGAACATGTCAAATCTTTTCTTTACGCCAGCCTTTGCGGCATCCCCTGGAGGGTAGGTAGGTGTGTGTTGGGTCCGAACAGCAGGAAGAGATTGATGGTTGGAGAGGAGATGGAGACATGGAGTGAACTTGAAGACAAAGGAGAAGAGAGGAGGAGAACATTTTGAGCTTCTTTTAGCACTTTATGATGAATGATCTCACTGAGTGCTGCTCGAGGGATGCTGGGAAAGTGAGTCATTGTGATGGGCAGAGAGTTTTGAAGATATGGTTTAATTATGGAGTGTGCTAAAACAGGTGGCAACACCACAGGTTGTCTCAATCACTCTGCCTCTGCTGGAGGAATGTGTTTGTGTGTCCTGTCTGGCCGGCTCTACCATCTGCTTGGATGCTGTTAAACCTGGCTCCGCTCCAGTGGCACTTAGCCTGTTTGAAAGGTCAGCTCACACAGTCATCAAACTGGGCATCAGTCTCCTTCACCAACAATATTAAATCTTCCTTTGATCTTTGTTTCTACACTTGCTACTTATGATTTGCTATCCCGTTTTGAAGTCTCAACACTTGTGGCTATAGTTGTGGTTGTGGTTGTTGCATGAGAAACAATATTGCATTACATATTGAATTACAGAATTAATAAACCATCTATTACGATCTGTAATATAAATACAGATACTTGTTGAATCAGACAAAAGAATAATAGCTACTACAGTTTGATGGTCTCGACTTTTGATACATACATTTGAATTTTAAAGTATATAAGATTTTCTCATCGACTCAGTTGCCAGTTTATTAGGTACACATTACTATGCAGTCTAGTGTGGTAATAGCTCTGAAATAAAGCCTTTAATGAAAATCTTGATGTTCATGATTTGGTTAAACTGTTTTAGAGAACTGTTGATTCAACTTTATGTTTATTTGAGAGGCTGTAGTTTCTAATATTCAGAAACTACAACCCCCACCGATAGAGTTGGGGTGGACAAAATATTGGAGATACCTCCCATAACAATGTGATACAATTCAACAGCATGACAGACAGTCTAACCAATAGTGCTTAGTTATAATGTCTTGTGTGGGTTGCTTTCTATCCTCATCCATTATTTCCCCTCCAGCTATTATTGATATGCAACTACAGGAAAGAAAATCCTACACACAAACTATTGTGTTCATATTGACGTGTTCTGGAGGAAGACAGGCTTAAAAGGCAAGACAGGCAGAATGCAAGTTCTCTGTCTGTGTGTCTGTAATAAACTGCAAAAACTTAAACTGATCTCCACAAAATTAAGTGGATAGAAAGAAAATTGGTTGGAGTTTTGATCTGGGGTTTACAACACACAACACAATTTAGCTACAGTCATGAAATCCACAGAGGGAAGTTTGATTCCAAACTGTTTGGTAATATTTAGAAAAAATGCATTTGATTTTAAATTCAAGTCGCACGGATTACATCTTTGGATGTAGCTTGAAGGTTGGACAGTGCAAGTGCAGTTTGCAGCTGTTTCTCTTCTGACTCTTTGGTACATTTATAAAGTCCAGTGGTATTGCACTGCGGTATTTTGTTATTAAAAGAGGAGCCATCTAGTTATTTAAATACAGCTGTGTGTTGTCAAGTATTATCAGTTTAACAGGGATGTTGTTGTCTCCCTGTGGTCTCAAACCACACTGTACAACACTTGAGTTTGTTGAAATTCAGTTCTTGCTTCTTGCAACATCCAATGCCTCGTTTCCTCCTGGAGACTGATTCTGTGGCATCACAGAATTCACCCAGAATGGTAAATTTACCTGGTGTTCTTTGAGAAGCAGCATTGCTTTATAAGGCAGAGAATCGAATCCTAATAATATAACTGGATACATTTACACAGGAACTGTCAAAGAGTGACGACGAAAATATACTGTCAAGCAAATGTCAGCCATCAAACTGACTAAACCAACTCTCCATTTTGAAATTGTTAGAGCATATAAAACACCCACATTTATTATGTGAAACACAGGCAATTGTCCACATTTCATGCTCCCTTATATCTTTTGTAACGAGCACACACTGAAAACAGACCAACACATCTTTGATTAAAAAGAAAATGCAAAATTCTTGCTCTTTCTGAAGATGGTTTACATGTACAGCTGAAAACAATTGGAATGTCATATCACATTGAGTCTTTGGAACCCTTAAAGCAGTTCGGGTTTCAGTGGAGTGTGAAGTGTTTCTGAAACTGCTGAAATGTTTGAGATGGAAGCAGCTGAAGAGTCATTTAAAACAAAATGCTGACAGGGGTTGAAGCACCAGTTGCAGAGAAGGACCTTTAAAGGATTTTAACCACAAATCTATGTGAAAGCTAATGCATTGAAATCAAATGATGAAACACAACAGCATTTGACTTCATTATGAATAGTTTATTAGTATATATATAATTCAACAACAATATTCAAAGTGAAATGTGGCTCACATTTAACAGAAGCAGCCTAACAGCACAGCCGGTTCTCGATGGCTTTCTTTTTGTGAATAAAGCATGCTGTTGATGGCTGACACTTGAAATATCCCAAGTGGTGAGACCTTTTCAAACAAGCTCATCAGCATTTAGCATGCCTGGCTTGTCATGGCACAATGATTTCTGTCTGTCAGACACTTTGAGTCGCTGCCCCATGGCCGGGCTTGATATTTGCCTAGTCAGACCATCGATCGGCCCCAGTGTTTTTCTTCTGTGCCTTGGCTTTTTAGTGCTGGGCTACATCACAGACACCTTGGCATCTTGAGATTTGATTCGAGCACGGTGGCCAGGCCTTCAGACTGGTTAGGGGACTGGGGTAGGAGGATAATATTGCTGACATTCACCGAGATCTAAAGGTTTGTGAAAGGCAGACGATGGAACATTTGTTTGCTTGAGGGCACCGAAATTTCTTGCCAGCGCAGAGGTTCTGGGCTGAATATAAAGCAAGTTTTCCTTTGTTCCTGGGAAATGGCCTTTTTTTAGCAACTGACACGCACGGGTAGCGATCATGAAGTCTTCCTCAGCACGGTGGAAAACGAAGCTTCATTTTTGGGACAGAAGGTGCTGCCTCTCCCAATTCTGTTAGTGTCGTCTGCATAGGCGAGAGTGATGCAAAACAGAGCACAGATGCTAGTCCGCAGGGCCTGTTAAAAACGCAGACATTTAACTAACTGTGATGTACAATCAGAAAGGTCAGAAAAGGTCGTGGGGTTTATACACTGGACAAAGTCATGGAGGCAGTGTCATATGCTGGAAGACTTAGAAGGGAAGCCTGGTTTAATTATAACTGTTAGGTTTCATATAGGGGCAAAACTGAGATTAAATTCAAAACCTCTTAGGGTACAGATTCATGCAAAACCTTTTGAGTTGCATTCCAATATTCAGAAGTTGTATGTAATTCTTTTGTCTGTTTCAGTTGTTACTCATGACACTAATGAGCTGCAGAGATCAGGCCATGCTGTCAGTATGATTTATTAGAAAACTGTCTGTCTTTTTTAAGTCTCACATTTCTTCTATTTACAAATTTACTATGTTTATCAGCTGCTCTCTGACAGGAACTCTTAAAGTGTCTGGCCTGTGTATGTCTTCCTTATTGACTGTCAAACACTGTTGTGTTGCACACTTTGTTTTTTTTATTTGAACCAATAAAAACCCAACCTTTCCAATAACCTGCACATGCACAATGGTTTACATTAAAATGCAGGCTACTTCAAATACAGAATCCATATCTAAACATTAAAATAAGCCATACATTAAGATAATGACTACAATCATACATTTCATAGATCTATGTAATTATGAACATTATGCAGCTCTCCTTGTAAATTCTGCTTGCTCTAAGAAACACTTAGTTGCTATATAAAAATGAGTTATAGAATATTGAATGGAATGTGAAGACATCACACTTAGTAGTAGAATTTACTCAATTTATACATTTTTTGTTGAGGGTCAGGGGTTAGTCTGTATTCAGGTTGAAGTCCCCACCAGGATATGAACACACACACACACACACACACACACACACACACACACACACACACACACACACACTTGCACATGGCTATAGTGAAAATCGTATTACTGCTACTTCAGTAAAGCTTAGGAGGCTTTGTTCAGTATAATGAACAATGTATGAAGTGTTCTGTAGAATTACTGGTGCTTGAGGAGAGGGACTGGTGCTTAAAGT